AAATTTGAATAAACAATATTTGGCGACATAATTCCGAAAAAAGCCGAACCGCTCCGAAATTTACAAAAGTTTTTGGTCGCGACCGTTGCAAAAATAGCGCCAAATAGTGTTTACATTGTCCTTATGGGCACTTTACAATCTAAACTTGTTTCATTTATCTATGCTGTAAATCACGGTAATGGCACGGCAATGCCGTCTCTAATAGAACAGCCTTGGGGCGAGATTTATGACGTCACGCTAGTTAGATACTACGGATTAATAAATATGTTATAGAATACATGGAAAACATAATTATTCCTCAGATTTTTGGTTTGTATTTTAAAAATGATATAGTTTACATGAAATATACATAATATACCGTTAATAACGACAACATATATACCTATTTATATTAATAAATACTTTGGCAAATAAACTATGAACCATACAAATGCAGCAAATGTTTTACAATATACAAATAATGTATTACATAAGATATTGGGTAAAATGTAAATATATTTTAAATTTTGGGGTTTAAAAATCGATCTAATTTAACAAAAAACATTCAATATCTACTAATAGTGATGTAAGAAATGCGCATGCGTACGTAAACGTTTACGTGTTTGTAGGCCGACTCGACCGTATGCCGTTGTTCTCTATTATATTGGGTAAAATGTAAATATATTTTAAATTTTGGGGTTTGAAAATCGATCTAATTTAAGAAAAAACATTCAATATCTACTAATAGTGATGTATTATTATTTGCATTCACAAAATTTATATGTATATTTTGCAAGTATCAATGTTCGAAAAATTATATTTACAAATAATACAATATCGATCTAAAAAGTTGAGATTTTAGGTTCGGGAAAATGCTGATTTAAGTTTTCATTTGGTTTTTTATTATTTTTATTTGTTTTTAAAAGAAAATTTGGCTAACTATAGTATTCATCAGTGTTGTGTCATATGAAAAAAATAGTGTCGAATATAATCCAAAAATTACATATAAAATTTCACACCACATAATGTTTACTGCAATTAATAAACTAATATAAACTTATCAAAAGATGACCACATATTTCTTAGAATTATTATTCTTAACAGTAAAACTATCTACATTGACTATGGAGTACGCAGTAAACATTATGTGGTGCGTGGTGTGAATATTTTATATGTAATTTTTGGATTATATTCAACATTATTTTTTTCATATGACTAACACTGATGAAGGCTATAATGTTAGCCGAAAGGTTTTTTAAACCAAATAAAAATAATGTCAGCGTTTTTCAGAACCTAAATCCCAAGAATAAAAAATTAGAATATTTAGAAACAAGGTTCAAGAATATCAAATTTTCCAAGATTGTAAAATTCTAGTTAATTATTTTATGTGTACAATTATTTAGGGAATGTCATCGATGTTCATTTCCAAGCCAAGTAGACGCCGATTTTTTTCGATGATACGGTATAATTCTTACATAAAATGTAAATAACATTCGACCAATTAAAACAAAGAAATATGAATTTCTTAGTAGTATATTTTTAGTAACACGTTTTTATTCTTAAAACTTAACTTTGTATTGCAAATATACCAATTTTATTGTTATTTTATTCATATTGTATTCAGCCATCACTTAAATATTTGATATTAATTTTGTATTATAAATAATCAACATTATTCAGTAAAAATTACTGAACAAATATATGTTATGCTTTACATACATTATATTATCAAACAAAAACACATTCTTCTTTTAAACTTTATCATTCTTGTCTTACAAAATCTTTTTAATTTTGAACTCAAAATAAAAATCTTTTTCATGATCTTTAATACAGCTATTCTTTATTTCATCCCTAGATCATAATACCTACTTACATGTTTATCTTACGTGTTTGAAACTATCGAAGCTGAACCAACAACACTTGGGTGGAGATTCCACAATATGAATAAAATAAACATAATTGTCCAGTTTTCTTTAATACCATCCTGGGAGATTATTATTTTTAAATTTATTAAAGATATTTTCAATAGAAACATCTTACATACATTATATTATCAAACAAAAAACACATTCTTCTTTTAAACTTTATCATTCTTGTCTTTACAAAAATCTTTTTTAATTTTGAACTCAAAATAATAATCTTTTTCATGATCTTTAATACACATATTCTTTATTTTCCCTAGATCATAATACCTACTTACGTGTTTATCTTACGTGTTTTCAATCTATCGAAGCTGAACCAACAACACTTGGAGTGGAGATTCCACAATATGAATAAAATAAACATAATTGTCCAGTTTTCTTTAATACCATCCTGGGAGAATATTATTTTTAAATTTATTAAAGATATTTTCAATAGAATTGTCTTGATTTATAACTCGTACCCACTTTTCTTGCTCTTCCGGATACTTTAAGCTGCCTAGTATAACTATCCTTTCCACCAGGAACACAACAAAGATGAGGCAAAGCACCAAAAACACACTCCACTTAAGCTTTATTGATGAATTGTTAGAGTCTTAAAAAACACACACAAAAATCACGATAAATAAAAAATTTATGGGCACTTTTAGGTTAAAGCATGGTTAAAACACTTAACAAAATGTGTAATATTTCGTGTTTTTTTATGAGAAACAGAGTGACCATCATAGTGACCATATATCTGGTAGTACTTTATGTCACTTAAACACCAAAATAATTAGTTTTTTGCACTACAATAACAAATAATACCAAAAATCAACGGACAAAATATGAATACAGAATCTAACCCAATATCTAAGTATGTACAGCTGATGAAGTAAACAGAAGTCCGCCCGTAGGCTGATTTTTTATAGAGGGCATTGGCCGTGGTAATGATGCGGATCCGGTGGCTGACCTTGAAACGGGTTTTTGCTGCATATAGTCACAGACACTACGCATGCGCACATCAACTTTCAACAGATTGAAAGTTATTTTGGAATTATTTTCAGTAGAAAACAAATATTTGCTTTTCAGTGTTTTTTTTAGTCAATATATACAGTATGATCGAAAAAACGGCGTCCAGTTGGCTGGGAAATGACGATTGAGGACATTTTCCATATAAAATGAAAGCGATCTTCATTTCATAGTCATCGCTGACGCTATTTTTTTCAATCATAGTACGCGCGGTATATTATTTTTTATATTATCGTTGATTGAAAGAACTGTGAATGTTATTTCCTTCAATCAACGATATTATTATTTTAATATTTCGCACAACACGTGAAACGTGAACGCTTATTATGTATTTTCATAGTCAATAAAATTAAATAGAAATAAAATTCTAGATTCCTATAATTAATCTAATTAGCTCTAGATTATTAAGCTACGTTTAAAAAGTGCTTTATTAAAAATTCGGGAAATTAAAAGGGATGTGTCCAAGTTTTTTCTTTTTTTAATTTTTAAATGCTGTAGCTCCATGTCATGTTCATAGGTTTTCTTAACATTCCATCAAAACTACGGAGGCCTTAAAAGGCCTTTTAGCCTCCGTAATTAAAATTGTTGAATCAGCTTCAGCAACATTTATTACAGTTACCTTGTTTAATTCTGCTTATACATATATTGCATTAATTTTTCTGCTACCTTAAGATTTCTCTATCCTTACACCTAATTTATGTGATTTTCTTAGCATATTATGATTTATAAACCATATTTTTCCTAATGGAAGAATGGAATAGGATATGCAAAATTAAGATATTTTAACATTTATTTTCCAGACAAAGCATAATATAGTATTAAGATTACATTTTAGTATAGTATAATATAGTATAGTATACACATAATATAGTATTAAGATTAGACATAACAAATATTATAAGAAAGATCTTAATATAAATCACAAACTAATCTTAATTTGGTCTTGTATAAACACAGGTATAAAACTAATAAGATCAAAACTCAACCTTCTCCATATTGTCAAGATTTGGCATTATAGGAAACAAGAAATTACAGTAAATTAAGAAAAGAATATCAAAGTACAAGATATTAAATACTGTAATGTATTCTACAACACAAACCGTCTTCCTTCTAAAGAGAAAAAGATAAAACATAAAGCTTATTTTAGTCTTATCAACACACTCTTCAATAAAATATATGTCTAAAATTGCTATTAATCCACTAACTTGATATTTTTAAGAAATTATGATACAAACATTATAAGCAAAGTATATTATATTAGTAACATTATAGGTAAGATGTTACTTTTATCTCTTATTGACGTGTATTGTTCTATAAGACTCCTCATGGTAGTATTTCAAAACATCAGTACATATACAGTACGTCTGTCCGTGCTGTAGCTACGGGGTATCCGTGAGAGGGGAAACGATATTCTCTCGATATTTTTCGTAAAAAATTAGATTACGCGTCCCATCAATAAAAAATCGACAAATTTGCAAGTAGCCAATAAAATGAGTGGGCGGAGCGATTTGCGGTGACGTACTCGTCAAGTCGACGTATAAAATATATTGCTGTTTATTTAAATGTTTTTGTCCGCATTCCTTTCAGAGACACAGATCCAGCAGATGTACTGTAATCAAAACTATTTTGTTGCCTGTAAATAACTAGAAATTAAATAACTTGAAAGAAATAAAATAATTCTAATAAGTTTAAAACCATAAGAAAAAATCCGTACATGATAATTTTTAATTCTAATGTAAATATATAAATAAATGTTATTATTTATTATTACAGTTTTATATATTCATAATACTTTCATTTCACAATCTTCATTATCCTTCTTACCTTAATTTTGGATATCAAGATAAATGTGTATTTTGGGTGGTATTCCTCAAAATTTGTAGGCTATTAAGGAAACAGAAAATGTACTGAAATAAATTGAAAATAATATTTATATTAAAACATTATATGCGACTTTTTCAAACATATCCTTCAAACCCTACAATTTAATAGCTGTTAGTAGGAAGTTTTACTTCAAATATGCGCACATAGTGCACACACTGTTTTTTTAAGACTCACCCTGTATAAAGGAAAATAAAACAATAATTTTTACTAAACCATTACTTATATTTTACCATAATGATATTAAAATACCCTTTGTATAAAGTTATTTTTATCTGGTCAATTTGTCATAGCGAATTTAACGTCCGGTGCTGTTCGATGGTGGTGGTGGTGGTGGACCTAGAAAGGAAAGATAAATAAAGTCGTAGATTTATGGACAGCATAACAGTATGATAATAAATATCTGTGATATATTATAACTTGTGACAAGCGCCCCTATTCTGTCCTATCGCTCTTTATTACCACTACTTCTTCATTTATTACTAATATTAGGAGACGGAAAATACTTTTGATACAGAAAGGCTTCTTACAGGGTGAGTCTTAAATAATTGCAAATATTTTCAGGGCTGGAAGATCTCGATAAAAGAAACATTTATTTTCTCTTTATCGTTTTTAAAATAAGTCCAAAATAAAAAATAACCGAGATATTTTATTACAGTTGAGGGTTGGAACCTTTGGTGTTAAACAGCAAAATAAAAACACTAAATCACCACAATACACCAAAACACTTTTACTTTTACACTGGACGCGCGTTTCGCTAACCATGTTAGCATCATCAGCAGATGATTATAAACTAAAGTACAATCTACAAGTTGAGCGTTTATATACTCGCCCAGTGGGCACCGAGTGGGCGTGGCAAAATCTAGCAAACCGAGTCAGAGCCCACTGAGCGTAACAGTTAGATTTCCGCCACTAGAGTAGTAGGAACAAAGAACCTGAAGGAATTGGACCATTGTCTCTGTTCATACTATCTTTACATTTATTAATTCTGATGCTTTCATATGCATCTAATTGCCTGTAATTTGAGACTTGTTTAATTAATTTTAAATTATTAAGATCTATACAATGTTCTTTATCAACAATATGTTCGGCAATGCAAGATTTATCCGGTCTACCATATCTTATCTGAGCTAAATGTTCTTTATATCTAGTTAATATTGACCTTCTAGTTTGCCCAACATATTTCTGATTACAATCTTTACAAGAAATTTCATAAATACCCGACCTTACCAGTGGAGGTGTTTTATCCTTTGGATTACCTAATAATTGTTGTAATTTATTATTAGCACTATACACAAGTTTATAATTTACATTCTTCAAAATTCCTTTTAGACCACGGGATAACTCTCTATCAAACGGCATCGAAAAATATTTAGACGTGTCTTTCTCCACTTGAAAAGTCGAATTTTCAGAAATCATTAACCTATACCTACGTTTTCTAATTAATTTATCAACTAGTGAAGGAGAATATCCATTACACTCAGCTACATTCCTAATGTAATCTCTTTCTATTTCATATCTTTCTTTGGAAAGTGGGAAACTAAGTTATCTATGAACTAGGAAATTTAAACTAGCCATTTTATGTTCAACACTATGATGTGATTCATTAGGAATATATCTGCGTGTGGTCGTATTTTTCCTATAGATATTAAATTCCAGGCAATTATTAATATTTCTAATAACTCATACATCTAGAAATGGTAATCTGTCGTTGTTCTCAATTTCATGCGTAAATTTAATGGAAGGAAAACGATTATTTAACTTAGAAATAAAATTATCTATGGTGTCTGAATGTGTGTCAAAAACAGCAAAAATATCATCCACATACCTAAACCAAACTCTTGGAAAATACTCAAACTGATTCTGAAATACTGAATACTGAAACTGAAGTGGAGGCTAGGAATAAAGGCTAATAATAAATTACAACAATTATTAGGTAATCCAAAGGATAAAACATCTCCACTGGAAAGGTCGGGTATTTATGAAATTTCTTGTAAAGATTGTAATCAGAAATATGTTGGGCAAACTAGAAGATCAATATTAACTAGATTTAAAGAACATTTAGCTCAGATAAGATATGGTAGACCGGATAAATCTTGCGTTGCCGAACATATTGTTGATAATGAACATTGTATAGATCTTAATAATTTAAAATTAATTAAACAAGTCTCAAATTACAGGCAATTAGATGCATATGAAAGCATCATAATTAATAAATGTAAAGATAGTATGAACAGAGTCAACGGTCCAATTCCTTCAAGTTCTTTGTTCCTACTACTCTAGTGGCGGAAATCTAACTGTTACGCTCAGTAGGCTCTGACTTGGTTGGCTAGATTTTGCCACGCCCACTCGGTGCCCACTGGGCGAGTATATAAACGCTCAACTTGTAGATTGTACTTTAGTTTATAATCATCTGTTGATGATGCTAACATGGTTAGCGAAACGCGCGTCCAGTGTAAAAGTAAAAGTGTTTTGGTGTATTGTGGTGATTTAGTGTTTTTATTTTGCGAGATATTTTACTTTGAAACTTTCAAAAAAATTGATTTTTCACTTATGTTTTGAGAACCACTGGATTTTTTCTGGGTTTTCTTTCTTGTAAACTATTACCTATGTTGCCAACTAAAAATTTAAAAAAAATTCCAAAAATTCTGAATTTTCAATTTTTTTTTGTAAAAAAACTCATAGACATGTTTCTGGGGCGAAATATACTACCCCTAAAAATATTTGTACTTATTTCAGACTCACCCTGTATACCTGGTGCGTCTCAAAAGTGGCTCACCTCTATAACGTTTTTACTTTTCACATAAAAAAAAGAGATTTGGTATGTTCGTATATGACATAAATTAGGATTGATTGACGTATTCAACTGTTTTTGGTCACTTCCTGTTTCACCGAAAATAACTACAACTTTTGATTTTTAAATAGCAGCCTCGGTATTTTTTTACTTTACTCGATAGAAAATGCCACAGTTGTGGGTTGGAACGGCGGTGCTTTGGTGTTACACAGCAAAATAAAACCCTAAATCACCACAATACACCAAAACACTTTTACTTTTACACTGGACGCGCGTTTCGCTAACCATGTTAGCATCATCAACAGATAATTAAAAACTGACTTTTTTTAATGATCTGCTGATGATGCTAACATGGTTAGCGAAACGCGCGTCCAGTGTAAAAGTAAAAGTGTTTTGGTGTATTGTGGTGATTTAATGTTTTCTTTTACAGAAAATGCCACTCTGAATTGACTATTCTTTTTTTAATTAGTGTCTATCAATTTACTTTACAAGGAAAGTCCAGACTTCATGATAAAAATAAAAATATTTGAGAATCAGCTGTAGTTATAATATTGTTACGTTTTTCGTCGGTTCCGTGTGGATAGAAAGTCATAATTTATTTAAACACTATTTATTTAACACTAATTAACAAAAACAATAACGATAAAAAAAACTTAAAGAACTATTTATAACTTATTTACAATTTATCTAATTATTTATCTAACAGAAATTTATATTGAATTAGCGCGGCGATTGTACCTCTACGCGTCGATCGGTTATTTATCTCTATCTCTCTTAGGCCCCGGCGTCTGCTTATATAGGAGAGAAACAGACAATCCAGACTTGTCTAGTAAATTCTTATTCGTTCTTAGAACGTCGGCATTGCTGGGCGTATGAGTCATAGGCGAGTGGCCAGGCCTAAGGCTGAGTTCACACGGCACGGCTCCGCAACACTGCCCCCTTCTTAGGTACATGCTCGTCCCGAGATGTACCCGGTGAATGAAGGTATTTGCAAAGCTGGCCCCTGGTACACTGCGAAGTCTGGTAGAAATAGCAGTCTACAGTTTTCTCTCCCGATCTCAGCTTTGGGTTGTAGCAGCAAACAAGGATCTCGATTCCCGTAAATTTGAACAAGACTTCAATCATGTTCCGGATTGTAGGCCAACTCAAACCATCGAGTCCACACGCCAGCCTCGGAATGGCTAATCGTGCAATGCTGTTGTTTAGCAGGGCTTCTCTCAGTTCAATCAGGGTCTTCCATAGATCGAGATAAGTCGGCTTACTCGGGGACCATTCCTTGGTGACCAGGTAGAAGATGTGTCTTGTTTGACCATGTGCATTGTCGGTTAGCCCCAAGACGCTTCCAACCTCTGGATCCTGTCGGCATAGTTCTCCGACACGCCCAAATTCTCATTGAACGTCGCAGCGATTCCTCTGAACATCCGCAAATCTCGGGCCGCACAGTGAGCGAGCGAATAATCAGGAGGCACGGAAAAAGGTCTCGTTGTTCTTCTTTGGTTACACCAGAGCGAGCCTTCTCACTGCTGTATCGGGCCATGAAATCGTCAAAGGACATCTCCGAATCAGGGGATCAAAGCTGCAGGTCCTCACGGTCCCAGCACGATCTTCTATTTCGCCTTGTAGGGGCTCAAACGGTTGAAATGAACTATCCTCGGTTTTCCTTTGGCAATTTTCTGATACGGCATACGACGTCATTAATTCTATCCGACTTCGTATGGGCCTTCCTACGAGGATTGTAGCTTCGAAGATAATCCACGACGTCTCTGCGGGTTAAATAGCCACACCAACTTCCATGGTTGGTATCCTCCATGATCAGCTTGAATGTCGTAGTGCTCCTCCATTCGGTCACTAGCGCTTTGAATATTTAGGCGGACTGTCTGATGAATGTCGTCCATCCTTGACGTAGCCTGTGGACATAATCTTCTCCAGCAACATCTTCTCCCGGTCGGCAACCAAACTTCAGATCACAAGGTAGACGCACTTCCGTCCCATAACGATGCTGGCTGGAGTTTGCCCTGTGGATTCTTGGACGGATGAGCGATAGGCCAACAGGAACAGGTGAAGGAATTTGTCCCAGTCTCTCTGGTGGTCAGAGAGTACTTTGGCCAAATAACGGTTGATGGTTCTGTTCATGCGTTCAACCATCCCATCGGATTGTAGATGTAGAGCCGTCGTCCTGGTCTTGCGGATGTTAAGGACTTCGCAGACGCCTTGGAACAGATTAGACTCGAAGTTTCTTCCCCGATCTGAATGAAGCTCCATGGGAACACCAACCCTGCAGATCCATTCCTTAACAAGAGCATCAGCAATGGTGGACGCTTCTTGATTTGGTAACGCGTAGGCCTCGACCCATTTGCTGAAGTAATCCATTACTACCACAATGTCTTTGTTGCCATCGTTCGTCTCCCGGAAAGGACCAGCCACGTCGATCGCTATTCGTTCAAAGTGACTGCCTACATTGTACTGGCGCATTGGAGCTTTTACCGCGCCTTTGTGGTCCATTGATAGCAGCGCAAACGTCGCATTTCTTACACCAGGCCCTCACGTCTTCTGTGCAGTTCACCTAATAGAACCGTTCACGCAGCCTGCCAAGTGTCTTGGTAAAACCAAGATGTCCACCGCTGGTTCCATTGTGAACTTCCTCCAAGACCTCCGGGACCCTCTTCTTTGGAATGACGATCTGACTTCTCTCTTCTTGTCCCTCTGGCCTCTCAATCACACGGCGGAGTAACCCGTCATCTATTACCAAGGAATTCCACTGGGCCCAGTACGACTTCACGTTCGGCGAATATCTGCAAACTTCATCCCACGTTAGTCTTTGGTCCACGTTTTTCTAGTTAATCACTAAGCCTAATTCTGGGCCACTGATTTGGTCGTTTGCAAGATCTTCGGGTTGCCAAGTATCTTTAACCACAGCTGTTCTTAGGAGTTTCACTTCTTCTCTTCTGCTCGGGAACAATGCTTACAGTCCTTATCGCAAGGTCTTCTGAAAAGTGCGTCGGCATTTTTATGGATCGCCCCAGCTCGATGTTCTGTGTCGAAATCAAATGCTTGTAATCGTTCAATCCATCTAGCTACCTGCTCTTCAGGATTCTTAAACTGCAACAGCCATTTCAAGCAGCATGGTCTGTTCTTAACAAGAACTTTCTTCCATAGAGATACTTGTAGAAGTGTTCCACTGCTTTAACTACTGCTAGTAATTCTCGTCTGGTTACACAGTAGTTCCTTTCCAGTTTCGACAAGGTCTTACTAAAATAACCACCATTTTTCTTGACCATCCTGGATCTGAGACAAAACAGCGCCTAACGCAACATTGCAAGCGTCGGTATCCAATATAAAGTTTCCGTTGCCAAGAGGGTAGCTAAGCATGGGGCGCACTAGTCAGGCCTTCTTCAATTTCCGGAATGCCTCGTCAGAATCTGAGTCCTAAGAGAAACGCCTCTCGCTTTCGGTAAGTCTGGTCAATGGTTTTGCGATGGTGGCGAAACCCCGTACATAGCGGCGATAGTATGTGCATAGTCCCCAAAAGCTTCGTAGTTCATGTTTATCTTTAGGTATCGGCCACTCTTCCACTGTCTTGGTCTTCTGTGATCTACCGCAACTCCTTGGGAGGAGACTACATGGCCCAAGTAGTGTACCTTTTCTTGGCATTAGATGACATTTTTAGCTAAGTTTCAAACCAGAGCTCCCTAGTCGCTTGAAGACTTCTTCCAAATTCTTCAGATGATCGTCAAATGATTTCCCAACCACTATGTTGTCATCCAGGTACACTAAACAGGTAGTCCAGGATAGTCCCTTTAACACAGACTCCACTAGTCTCTCAAAGGTAGCTGGCGCGTTGCAAAATCCAAAAGGCATGACGGTAAATTGCCACAGTCCGGAGCCCACCGAGAACGCTGTCTTCTCTCTGTCTTTCGGCGCCATGTCGACTTGCAAATATCCACTCTTCAGATCTAACGTAGAAAATATCGTTGACCCCGCCAGCGTGTCTAGAGTATCGGCTATCCTCGGCAGGGGATAGCCATCCTTCTTGGTAACATTATTGAGCTGCCGATAATCAACACAGAACCCGGTGGTACCGTCTTTCTTCTTTACTAGTACTACCGGCGATGTCCACGGGCTGTTAGATGGTTCGATGACACCCTCTTCTTTCATTTCTCGAAGGATTTTGTCAGCTTCTTCACGTTTGGCGAGCGGAAGTCTCGGATTTTGTTTGATTAGTCGTGCATCTCCGGTGTCAATTTTATGTTGTACTAAATTGGTACGACCTCTATGTCCTGCTTCGCCTTTATCAAACACATCTTGATACTTGATTATCAGGTTTCTCAATTTTCTACTTTCTTCGGGAGATAATCCCTTAACGTTTACTAACTCCTTCACCATTTTGTCCGGAATTTTGAAGTCGAAACTTTGGAGGTTTCCACGCTTCGAATGACTGAGGAGACCGAATAACAGTACCCTAACAGGGTTCACTTCTTCAAGGATACAGAATAATAATTCTTGTGTTCATTATTCTCACCGGTACAGTCTTCTTCGCTCGTAGCAGGGCTTTTCCAACAGCGACCCCCCGTCCTATTTCGCTGTCATGGTTCCTCGGCTCCAACAGAATAATACCCCCATTATTCATTTTACCTTCCAGGCAACCATCCAAAAATATCTCACTGCGCTCAGGGATCGAAACATCTTCTGTTACCACCACGCGAAGCGTCTCTTCACATTTTCGATGTAGAACCACTTCTTCTTCATTTATTTTCAAAATTCCCTGTTTGAAGTTTAGTTCAAAACCTCTAGTGGTCACGATGTCCATTCCGAGAATTAGTTTATCTTCGATATCTGCTACTAACACTGGATGTTCAAAACTGGTGCTCCCAATAACAAAATTAAGGTTTACCTCTCCATGGACAGCAGCGGAGCCCCCTGTAGCAGTACGTAGTCGCCATTGTGTTGTTTTAACCTTCTTCGATGTTTTAAGAATGCCCGGTCTGATGATAGTTTTCGTCGCACCTGTATCCAACAGCATGGTCCGAAACTCTCCATCAACAAAACCATCCACAAAAAATGCTGTTGAACTTGTAGCGAGGCGACTTGAGCAGTTTTCGTTGAGGCATGTTGGGTACAGGTCGACGTGTGCCCCTTCATTTCGACCCTTAGTAGTTTTCCGACCTCGACGAAGCCGGTTCTTCGTTCTTCTCCTTACAACGGCTTCGCACGTGTCCTACCTGTCCGCAGTTCCAGCAACGAACCGGTCCCTTCCACGGATTCGTCGAAACATTCGTCGATGGCCCGTACTCTTCCTAAAGACCGAGAACTTTGTTTCGCGGCCTCGAATTCTAGGGCACGTGCTAAAGCATCCACCAAGTGCGTTGGGTGGGCTAGGAGAAGTGCTTGTCTTGTCTCGTTGTCACGTAAGCCATCGGAGAATGCCTGTACTACCAACCGCTCATTTCTAAATGTCGTACCAATTGCTGATAATCTCCCTGTTCCGATGGTGACAGTGTCTGCAGGATGTCAGTCGCATCTCCTCGCAGTGCGACAGTCAAAGCGGTAGCCTTTTCAGCGATTGTCCATCCGTTCGGCCTCAAACTGGCAAAAAATAATTGGCCCAAGAGGTTTTTCCGTCAAACTGTGGAGGCTTAATAACTGACTTTGAGATATACTTATTTTCGTCGAGTGTCGGGCCCTCCGATGTTTCTTGACATTTTGGTGAATTTGCTTTTGCTATTTGTTCTTTCAAAATTTCGATTTTTCTATGTACATCTTCCTCAATCTCTGTTATTTTGTCTTGTGTATCTGTTATCTTTTCTTCTAATTCCTGTATTTTATTATTAAAGCTGGCCTGTATATCTTTAGAATTTTCGATGATCTTAGCTTCTAATGTGTTGATTAAATCCTGGGAATTTTCCATAATTTTATCACTGATTTTATCTTCTAAATTAATCCCAAGTCAATTATTTTACTATTCAAATTGTTTTCAATTTTTGTAGGCACGAGTCAAGGTCACCTTCCAACTCAAAGCAAAAGGTGTCAGGATCCTCACCTTCCTCAATCAAAACGTCTCTCAGTCTGGCTTGCAGAATGGTTTTCCATCTGTCTTTCTGCATTCCCTCTTCCAGTATGCATTTTAATTCGGATACTTTCAAGTCTTTCAACAATTTCTTCAGAGCCATTGTTAGTCTTTTATTTTTTAGTCTATCACACACGCTACACTTGACACCAATTGTTACGTTTTTCGTCGGTTCCGTGTGGATAGAAAGCTTCACAATTTATTTAAACACTATTTATTTTAACACTAATTAACAAAAAACAATAACGATAAAAAAAACTTAAAGAACTATTTATAACTTATTTACAATTTATCTAATTATTTATCTAACAGAAATTTATATTGAATTAGCGCGGCGATTGTAACTCTACGCGTCGATCGGTTATTTATCTCTATCTCTCTTAGGCCCCGGCGTCTGCTTATATAGGAGAGAAACAGACAATCCAGACTTGTCTAGTAAATTTTTATTCGTTCTTAGAACGTCGGCATTGCTGGGCGTATGAGTCATAGGCGAGTGGCCAGGCCTAAGGCTGAGTTCACACGGCACGGGTCCGCAACAATATGTACCTATACTAGTTAAAAAATGTAAGTTTCCTTACCCCCTCCACAAGCAGCAGTGTGAGTCTGATGAAACGCATGATGATTATTCAGGTCCCGTTTCACTAAAGACGCGCTTCCAGATCCGCCCCCTACAATGGAATCATAACAATAAGTTGTTGGGAATTAATGCAAACTGAAGTGTGTAGGTTTGTCTCGATTATAATATATTTGTACCTGATCCAGATGCTCCACCGCTAGCACCAGCTCCACCGCTAAGCCCCCCTCCAACTCCTGCTCCAAACTGGAAAGTTCCACTTCCTCCTACTTGTCCGGTACCATTTCCCGTTCCGCCATATTGAAATGGAGACGCATTGCATAACATCTATTTTAAAATTAAAAATGTTTATTATTTAGTCGAGTTTATTTCCTTCCGTCATGCGTCGCCCGTTGTTGAATTCCATTGCTTTATTTGTGGGTTAAGTGTCTCAAGAGTGGTCCACCCCCACTTTCTAATTTTTTCAGATAATCGAGATTGTTAGATATGACATAAATTGGGATTAATTGACGGCATTCCACAGCTTTGGTCACTTCGCTTCACCGGAATGACTACAACTTTGGTTTTTAATAGGCACGCTCGGTATTTTGTTACTTTATTCGATTGAAAATGGCACTCTGAATAGAATGACATATACGTCAACTTTTGACATTTTCGAATATGGTTTATTTGAAATTCCAACATGCGATTCATAACGACAATTTGACTCGAAATACCCAAAATATTACTTAATTAATACTCTTTCCAAATATGCTAATGAGCCACCCTCGTTCCATTTAAAAAAGTGAGATATGATTAAAAGTACGATTTGGGCATATTTTAACCCGCCAGGACAAGACACTAATAAAAGCATTAGACGATCAAATGTATTTTTCCAAGGCTCCTTGATTAATGTTTTAAACATAGCCATGGCACCCTAGATTGATATTTAAAATACAATTTTGTTTTAAGCGAAAATGTATAAAGTTGACATTTTTGTCATTCTGTTCAGAGTATCATTTTCTATCGAATAAAGTAAAAAAATACCGAGGGTGTCATTTAAAATCAAAATTTGTTATCATTGCCGGTGAAACAGGAAGTGACGAAAAACAATTGAATACATCAATCCTAATTTATGTCATATACTAACATACCAAATCTCGTATTTTTATCTGAAAAAATAAAAAAGTTACAGTGGTGAGCCACTTTTGAGACGCACCCGGTATATCGGACGAGGCAATACAGATACGCAGGCAAATTTTTGTACAAATTTTTGCTTGTTCTAAAATCGTTAATCCCGTTTATACTTTTGTACATGGAATATTGGGACACTCTGATTAATATAATTATTATATTTTACTTTTATGATTATATAAATATTTTAAGATCGATTAAAAATGACCATACTATACAGGGTGAGTCTTAAACAAGTGCAAATACTGGGCTGGCAGATCTCGATAATAGAAACATATTTTGTCTTTACCGTTTTTCAAATAAGTCCAAGATATCCGTGTTATTTTACTTTGAAAATTTCCAAAAAAATTATTTTTGCTTAAATTTTGAGAACCACTGAATCTTTTCTGGGTTCTTTATTGTAAATGTAATCCTACCTATGTTGCCATATTATCAAGAAATTATGTTTTTCAACTAAAAACTAAAAAAAATCAAAAATTTTTTTCGCGAAAAAAATTAGTCCTAAAAATATTTGCTCTTATTTAAGACTCACCCTGTACTAGATTTATGATAACAGTAAATAAATTTATAAAGAATACTTACCAGTGCTACTGCTATGAATACAAAAACAGATAACACAATGCAATTCGTCTTTATAGCAACCATTTTGATCGAGTTATGGCAGCCCACTGATATCCTCTCATTCCTGTCTTCCTCATTTTATACTATTTTTTAGAATTATTCCCAGGAAGTATTTTTTTTTAATAAATTGCAAATAAAAGTGTTATAAAGCGGAAGCAGTTCATCACCGTTCATTCTATTCGATTCAAATATGTATTACAAAAGGTTACGTAAATTTAATATAATTTATAAAATAATTTAAAATCGCGCTAATTTCATTGTAATTGTTGCACTTTGTATATGTTCAGTGACAGGTAGAACGACAATAAATTTTCGTATAATATTTTTAATTATCTCCATAAGCATGGGAAAAGTGTAGGCCTGTTAATTTATAATGCAAGTCTAGAGAAACTGACTGTCACTTTTTAAAACATGTCTTTTTAAAAACAGCATTATACAGGGTGTTTCTAAAAACATGTGCCATATCTCGTGGGAAGATTCCTCACGTAAAAATAAGATTTATTTCTCGTATCAACTTTCTTAGGTCCGATTTTGCTTTGTTTCGTAGCTACAGGGTGTTAAAATTTTAATATTTTTTCGATTTATTATAATTCTCTTCCAAGTGCTTTTAGTAAATCAAATGAAATTTTGAGGGTAAAAATTACTATAAATGCGACATATTTTAAAGCTAAAAAAGTGTCGACATATTCACCAGGGACGTGCATATAGGTTATCGCTGGAATATTTAAAAAAAACATGTGCGCCACTGACTTTTTTTATTTTGATATCAAAATTGTGTAGGCCGTTTAATGCCAATTGAAAGCTATCTCTTGATATTCTGTCGAATTCGGCCTCCTTGATGAGATAAACGCAATTTTATTAATTACAATTAATAAAATAAAAATAAAATTAATAAATTATGTATTTTACATAATTTATTATTAACTATTATTAATATTAGTTATTATTACTATTAGCAATTAATCTACAGCAATTTCAAATAAAAAAATAATGGTATTTAAGACAATTACAAAAAAACTAATTTTAAAATGTTTTAACATCCTGTAACTCTAAAACTTTGCATTTCCATACCCATGTTTATAGGAACATTATTTCATATTTTTCGATGAGGAATCAATGAGTACTTATTTAAAACTTTCGCAAGTTAATGTTATTAAAAATGTTTAAAGGTTGCTATTAAACTTGGATCAAGGCAAATTAATAAAATTGCGTTTATCTCATCAAGGAGGCCGAAATCGACAAAATATCAAGAGACAACTTTTAACCGGCATTAAACTGCTTACACTATTTGGCTAACAAGAGAAAAAAAAGTCAGTGGCGTACATGCTTTTTTAGAAAAATATTTCAGTGATAAACCATATGCACGTCCCTGGTGAATATGTCGACACTTTTTTAGCTTTAAAATATGTCGCATTTATCGTAATGTTTACCCTTAAAATTTCATTCGTAACGGTAAAAGTACTTGGAAGAAAATTATATAAATCGAAAAAATATTAAGACTTTAACACCCTGTAGCTACGAAACAAAACGGAATCGGACCTATGTTGATGTGAAAAATAAATGTTATTTTTACGGAATCTCCCCACGATAGATGGCACATGTTTTTTGAAACGCCCTGTATACAACAAAATAATATATTAATTAAATTTTCATGTACTCGTAATAGTAGTAGGGTATTTAATAATTAAATTAAATACTATTTTAATAAATAGATAATTACCATTAAAATAAAATCATCAACACAAAGAATTCTCGACGAGGATTTCGTATTTTTACAATTAAGTAATAATTAAACTGTATACAGTTTCTAGAGAAGTGAGACGGTATAATTTTATTTATTTTATATTTAAACTAACTTAAAAAAATACACAAATAATTGTTAAAAAGAAACAAATTTTAGCGAAATTATTTAACATTTTATTTGATAGAAAGTATATAATCTAGGCATTTTTTAATATGATTTTCACTGTAGGAGTCCCGCAGCGAAAAATTAATTACGAACTAACTTTAGTTAATTAAAGTTGGTCGCTCAAAAGTTTTACTGTTCTTAGACAGAATAAAAATAAAAAATAATGAAACCGACAGTATTTCTCTGTTAATCATTGGCTCTCAGCCAATGACACAGTCTAGCGCGAACTTCCTGAATGTTTTGGGACTCGAAGAAGGTTTCAAATTTAGTCATGAAATAGAACTAAACTTTTTATATGTCAGCTATATAGGGTGATAACTCTGTTTGTAGTTGGCAGGGGCGGATACAGGAATTCATTTTAGGAGGGGCTTTTTTAATTGAATAAAAAGGCACAAGAGTTTTTATAAAATTTGAAAGCGTCCACACGGTGTCCCACACAAAAATGCACCAGAAGAGATAAATACAAAGATACATTTACCCCCACAATGGATGGTAAAATTAACTATAGGCCTATTGCTAACTTGTGGCTTTCATTTTCAAGTCTTTTTGCTGGAACTGTCTCTGCGAATGTTGCACAAAATTTAGAAATAAAATACAATCATTATTATTGCAAGTATTCCTGAATAATTTTTATATAAATCTTTTAAATCTATTTTATAAAGTGAAACAATTAAATAATTAAACAAATTTCTGTTTGTTAACAGATTTCAGTAATATAAGTATAAAAAGCAAAAAGAAATTTAATTCGAAGCAATTAAGAGTAAAAAACATTTTTATATCGACCCTAAATTTTAAGGGAAATTAAACAATACTTACAATATAGCTTTATTTATTATTAGAATCAAGCCAGCTGGAGAAATCAGTGCCGTTTCCTCAAAGACTAGGTTGAGCAATATTTTCGTAAAAACCTTGATCATGTTCAAAGAGTATTAAAATTAATTCCAATACAGTTTCATGGGAGAATTATTTACACAGTTTTCTTGGTTGTAAAACTACTTTTGGATTACAGTTTGAATGTACCTTTGTTTTGAACAGGACAGGTCGTACAAGCTTATGATATCTCACATATTAGGCACGTAATGTCAATTTTTAATCACATTTCTAGGAATATTTGTATAGTTCTCTATTAATTATTCCACATATATCTTGAATTTTGGCAGTGCATAGTTCTAAGTTCGTCTTGGAACAAGTAGTTGGTCTTTTTTAGGAATTCTGTGTTGAAGGACATTGCTTAGAAAGTAGTATTTAGTTATTGTTTTAGTATTATCTGAAGCTAAACACTGGAAAGGAAATACATTATTAAAAATTTGGCTGTATTATAAGGGGTATATTTATTTAATAAAACGGTTTTATACCTTTGATTGTTCTTTCTGGTTCATGGCCATTCTACCACGAAATTCCGCATTCTCAGGTACCTTCGTTTACTGGGGGGATCGTTAAGATTCGCCTGGTCGGAGAGGCGACGCTTGCAATTCATCCTGTAAATGCTTGGAGTACAAACTTGGGAATGTTTTTGCCACTTTTTTTCAATCATTTCATAAAAGTGGTAATTCTTTACAAATTAAACAGAGCGCAAGAAGACTATTAAAAGTATTTTATTTTAAGTCTATGATTAAAAGTTAATTTTTAATAAAATATAATAATAGTATCATCAGCGAATCTTAGATGGTTAAGATATTCTCCATCTATTTTTAATCCTATGTTTTTTTAGAAAATATATTGTCTATTATATCTTACTAACTGGCAATATAAAGCCTTAATAAAAAAACACACACAAAAATAAAACCCAGTCAGTAGAACATGGTTTAATCCGTGATAAACAGCCTTGTTTCTTTTTCCTTTATTGTCGGAAACAGAACTTTTCACTAGCCACAAAAAGAGAATGCGCTCAGTTTGAAATATCTATCCACAAATTCGTTCTATAAATAACGGTCCAGAATGTAATAGGACGTCCTGGATTTCTGACTGGTAAACAAACACTTTTTCTTCGATTTTGTGTTGTCTACGACACTATACAGGGTGTCCATACATAAATTTATTTCTGGTGTCAATAAGGAAAATCCCTCCAGTTATTGCGAAAAGGCGAATCTGTATCGTGGATGACCTACAAATCGCTGTTTTGCCAGCTGTTTGGAATTGGGTAAGATCAATATTGAGATAGCACCAATTAAGACTCGTTTACGATGACATTAAATGGTACAAATGGCCATTTTACGAATGCGGATTGTTTAGGCTCTGCCGTAAAACTTAAACGAGGTTTGAATTTATTGCCGAATGGTGGTTTTTCCGTTAAAGTACTACGGAAGATATTTATTTCTGCGTTTTTTTTTGAAGATGTGTTAACAATAGATTTGATGTCTTAACAACAGCTTTAGTTATACAGGGTTACTCATCTCATTCGACACGGAGTATTGTGTATTGTAGCCAAATTATTAGATTTTTACAAATTGTAAATTGTTGGACTAGTAAAGCTATAATTTAAAATTATTTGCAACAAGTACAGAGTGTCCGCGATATATAAAAATATCAAAGATGTATTTTTTTAAATAAAACATCCTCTATAGTATTACATATTTAAGTAAAGATAACTTTGATTACGTTTTATCTCACCAAAATCGTTTTTGAAATATCACACCATTTTGTCAAGATGCTGTAACAATTTTAATGCTTCATACATACTTAAGTTTTTAAAACCGAATATTGTACTGAAGTTTTTCTATTTTCTAAATTTTGTGTTGCAATAATAAAAATAATACTTACTACAGAGTGTCTAAAAAAAAATGGGACACACTGTACAGATATACAATTCGGAGCATTGCTAAATGTAATTTGACATAAAAATAATTTGATGTGGCTTTTTGGCAGTCACTGTATTCTGGTACTCAAATAAAAAAAATTCTTTGTTATATTTAAACTTCATATTGTATCTACAAAACTTCCACCAAATAGTCGAAATAATTGACATAAAAGATATCATGTGATTGACAAAAATCAACATTAACGTACTTTAAATATCACAATTTTAACACTTTATAAAAAGGTTTTTTGCCAATCTTATGATATTGTCGATCACACATAACTTAATCTATAATATATTACATCTATTAAAACACACAATATAGTTTACAAACAATAACACTTACAAATTAAAAAAACAATAACATCCAATAAATATTTAAAACAATACATATAAATACATAATCAGTCAAATCTATATAGAGATAGATTAGTAAAAGAACTAACTTATTTCTCTGTTCACTTTTTGAATATTCTTTAAAGCTTCGATGTTCAGAAGTGATATTTCTTTGCCATAAATAAAATCCAAATGATTGAAATTGCTATAAGGCACAAGAAATTGTCCTACAACATTTGGCAGTTGTTTCGCTACTGATCCAAGTAATTCCTACAAAGAAAAAAGTTAAAAAAATATATATACAGGGTTGTTCACCACATACGACACGGAGTATTGTAGCTAAACGATTAGATTTTTACAAAAGTTTTGGGTTCGTTGAAGGACTGCTAGAGTTACAATTTAAAAATATTTTTTCAAGATACAGAGTGTCCCAAATAAATAAAAAATATAAAAGTTGTATTTTTTTAAATGGAACACCCTGTATATTATTACATTTTTAGTTTCTACGATTAAAATAAAGGTAAATTTGATAAAGGTTTATTACACTTAAACCTTACCGTTTTTGAAATATTTTCAATTTTGTGAAATTGCCGTAAAAATTTTAAGGCTTCATTTCTCCAAGGGTATCAAAGTTTTTAATACTAAATATTTACTGAAGCTTATTTATTGATCAGTTATTGTGTTGCAATAATAAAAATTATACTACCTTATACAGAGTGTCTAAAATTTTATTTTAAATAATTACTAGCTTTAAACGGCAATAACTTGTTCAATTTAAATGGAACACCCTGTATATTTTATGAGAATCAGATGCACAATTTAATTGTCTATCAAATTGTGTTATACCATTTTTTACCTATCGCTTCAAGTTTCCGTAGAAAATGCATTTTCTTGTAATTTTAAATTCATTTATCAATATACCCATGGAATACTGACATTTTAGATTATTTTTAAAGATGTACCAAATTTTTAAAAGGTACAGATATAGTTTGTTTATTTCATTAAAAAATAAAAAAAAACTGTTTAAATATTTATTAAAGAGGACCAATTAATATGATTCCAGTATTCAAACTACATTAATTGACTGTTTGCCTTGATTAATAATAATTGCTCCAAATACTAAAAAACTGAATCTTTTATGTGTATTAGACAGTGTGGTAAAAAGTAACACCTTAAAAATGATATTTCATTTTTTGACAAATGCTTATTTATAACAACAGAGACATTCATTTTTATAACTTATTATTATATTGATTTCTGATTCAAATCCACATTTATTTAGAATAATTTATTAACGAACATAATTAAGTATGTAATTAATTAGTATTTGGGCGGAAATAATGGAGGTATATTTAATTAATGGTATACTCTTTTATAAAGATTTAAATAGTTTTCTTTTTGCATACAAATGGGCTAGTAATATTATCATTTTGCTAAAAACGATAATATTACTATCCTGTACATCTTGTACATTTGTTGCTTTAAAAACAATCTAAAATGTCAATATTCCATGGGTATATTGATGAATGAGGTCCAAATTATAAGAAAATACATTTTTTACGAAAACTTGAAAGGATAGGTAAAAAGTGGTATAATACAATTTGATAGACAATTAAATTATGCATCTGTTTCTTCTAAAATATACAGGGCGTTCCATTTAAATTAAACAAGTTATTGCCGTTTAAAGCTAGAAATCATTTAAAATAAAATTTTAGACACTCTGTATAAGGTAGTATAATTTTTATTATTGCAACACAGTAACTGATCAATAAATAAACTACAGTAAATATTTAGTATTAAAAACTTTGATACCCTTGGAGAAGAGAGATTTTTTATTTATTTGGGACACTCTGTATCTTGTTAAACTATTTTTAAATTGTAGCTCTAATAGTCCTTCAACGAACCCAAAATTTTCAATTTGTAAAAATCTAATCGTTTAGCTGCAATACTCCGTGTCGTATGTGGTGAACAACCCTGTATACAGGGTGTTTCGAAAATCATGTGCCATCTCTGGTGGGGAGATACCTCACGTAAAAATAAGATTATCTCATCACATTCACGTTTTACAAAATTACTTAATCATTTTTCATTCGGTGAAGTTATATTTAGAATTTGTAGTAACAAATCTTGAGATATTACTTACCCCATTGTTTATAAGACAATCAGATTCACCGTAGTAAAGAATGATTGGTGCTGTAACTTTAGTCAAGTCGTAGGCTGGGGGATCTTTTCGTCCATATACTTCAACGTTCTTTACAGAACCGTAGTCAAATGGCCTGAACAGACCTGACTGGGTGCCTTGGACATAATGAGCGATTTGCTTCCAAGACATTCCCGCTGGAAAGTTGATCAATATATCCATCAGGAATTCCTAAAAATTTTAATAAATTTTTATTCGCCATTTTGCCAAGAAAAATTTGATTTTTTAAATTCTTTTGAACATTACAAAATGTTGCAAGAAAGAAGAAAGTTTATTGAAAATAAATTTATGTATGGAAACTTTTCACTATAATTTCTAAATTAAATATTATTTTTTTTATAAATTTTTGTATGTAGAGTAATGATGGACCTTAAGATTCTTTTTAGTGAATCAAATCACACGATTCGATTTCTCACACTGAATCGACTTTTTACGATTCGTTCATTTGAACGAACTAGTTTGTTTTTAGTGCTTTTGTTTGAATCTAAATATTGTTGCCCTATTATACAGGGTGTCCCAATCTTCCGTGGACATAGAACTACTACGTATTTTCGGAAGAATATTAGCGCATTCTAGATTTTATGCTCCTACATAGAAATATTTTTTGTTAAGTCAATTTCAAAAAATCATTTTTTTGTTAAAAAATAATGCGCTGTGATGGTGTTTTTACGACACAAAAATATAGTAAATACTAGAAGTAAAATATCTTAAAAAATGTGTTGATTTTTTAATATAATATTGAGACGCTTTGCATAAATACGCGGTCTTTTGGTGTACTGTGGCGAATCAGTGATTATGTGGTGAATAGGTTACATTTAAATAACTCAATTTCGTTTACTTACATGATCAGCTAATTGTTCTGGTGACGATCCAGTAACCTCGAAAAACAACTTGCATAAAAATCTCAATCTGCAGAGGTTCCTAAATACTTTCGCCGCAATCCTTTTGGTAAACATTTCATTCCATCCAATCATTTTTGCCAACTGAAAGAATTAAAAGTTTCATACATCTAATACTGAATTTACAAAAAAATACGTTTACCTTTAATAGTACAGGAAATCTAGCCAGAGTATTGATAGGCCAACTAGTTATGGCATGCATGTTAGTTACAGGCGCAAAAGCGTTCATAAGTAAAATTTTGTCGTTGTATTCGGGTCGGATAGACCCCATAACGGTGAACGATGTGAACCCTTCTGAATATCCTACATACGTCAATTTGGCGAATCCAGTAGACTTCAAAACGTAGTCAATCATTCCAGGAAGGTCGTACTTTCCGATTTCGTGGTAGCTAAAAATATTGAAAACTATACAGGAAAGTAAACGAAAGTCATAACTTTTTTTGGGACACCCTGTATACAACAAAATATTTTTAGGATATACCCCTCTAAAAACCATGCAAATCTGTATAAAACTTTTTTTCGTATCATCGACAACCAAGACGATATTGGACTTCCTAGCACTACAACGAGTCGCTCATTTGAACGAGTATTAAAAATGAATCGTGATATTGATGCATAAGATTTGAACCATGAGCCGTAAAAACGAATCGTGAGAATTGAATTTTATTTAATTTTCACGTTGATATTTTTGTTAAAATAACATTACCGACTATTAAATGCCGGACTAAAAAACGAAATCGTGTTTTTATGCAACTCCAAATAAATATTGTTGGCCTCTGCTCAATGTGATAAAAAACGGCGTCAGCGATGGTTATAAAATGAAGATCGCTGTCATTTTATATGTAAAATTATATGGGGAATGTCATCGATGTTCATTTCCGAGCCATTTGGACGCCATTTTTTTTCGATCATGCGGTATTATAATACTATATATTATGATTATTAAATCGGAATTAAAATATGGCTCTGAAAATATTAAATTGGTCTTAAGAAGTCTTTAATAAATAGTATATATAAATTGGATTGATAATTTAATTATTTTTGGTAAAATAATCAATCCAATTACGCCAGTAGTGTCATAAAGTGTTGAAAAACAAATGAAAGAACTGTACATTTCTTTTTCTGGTCCCTTAAGTTATTGTCCTGACAAATTATCGCCGGTAGTGCCAGTTACGATTCTTGTTTTTATGAAACGTAAATTGTGCATGTGTTTCGTTCAAATGAACGAATCGTAGGAGTCGATTCAGTATGAGAAATTGAATCGTGTGATTTGATTCACTAAAAAGAATCTTAATGCCCATCACTATACAGACTATACAGAGGGTATGCCGAAAATCTACCTGTAATTATAGAATGTTTTCGAGTCTCTATCTGGATCCAAGGACACGTGGTTTCGGGAAAAGGTGTTTCCCCTGTTATTTCCCAGCCAGACGTCGTATCCCGCGTCGGCCAACATCAAAGCCATCGCTTTGCCAGGCCCTAATATTACCCAGTCTACCGAACTGCACAATAAGCCGTGCATAAGAAAAACTGGAGGTTTCCTGTCTTTGTCGTCAGTGGATGCGGATTCTTTGCGGCCGTGAGGTATTCGGTGTAAAGTTAAGATGTAGCCGTCTTCGGTTTGAGCGTGATGGGTTTCCAGCGGGTATCCATTTTGGGAAAGGTATACATTCTGAAAAATCGAAATAATCTTGTTATTAAATGATGAATTTCACAATCATTTGGGGTATTGTTTGGCTGTGAATGGGGAATTATGTAAACATTTTATTAATTAGTATAGTTTAATAAAGTTCCTTGTATTATTTTGATCATCCCTTGAATAATTTGCAAATAAATATTTTAAAACTCAATAATGATTTTGACAGACGTGACAGACAGACGGACGGGCGGACAAACAACAAATTGATCTTATAAAGGTTCCGTTTTATGTCAGTTAATTCTGACTTATTATCAATTGCAAAAAATATAAAGATAATATTGTTTTAACTCCCCTAAATGAATCAGAAACACACAGTGGGTATTTATCAAGACGCCATTATTTTTAACAACCCAGGATACATAAAATTTAGGTTTTATTATCTAGTATTAGAGTGCATTTTATGGGGCTTTCACGCACTTGGAATAATTATTTAATTTTTATTAGAACAAGTCTAATGACATGTAAGACCATTAAGTTGTCACGCACTAAAAATAGTTATTTAACTTTTAGCACTGTAAATGAATGTAGCATTGGAATGGTAAAATAATTTAAGTAAAAAATCTGCATAAGAATTCTAACAGTCTATGAAACATTCAAATTACGTATAACACATATAATTGATAAATTATTTTTTTTTCAAACGTCACAAAAGTATTAATTTTCGCGACCTGACTGACAACATGAAAAAGTCATTTTAACGCCTAGGCATAAAAATGAAGCACTTTTACATCTAAGCACAAAAGTACGAAAATACCGTGTGATCGAGAAAAAAACAAGAAAGAATGGCTGGGAAATGACGATCGATGACATCTCCCATATAAATTTACATATATAAAATGACAACGATCTTCATTTCATAGCCATTGCTGACGCCGTTTTTTTTTCGACCATGCGGTAATTATTAAACTGACATAAAGTGTCAAATTCAACAAGCCTAACCATAGTTTCTCGATATATAGTTACATAAAAGGTGTTACTAAGAGTGTTACTATGGTGTTACTTTTAAATCTTTTCATAATATTTGGAACGTTTGAAATTGTTTAAAAAAATATTTGTGGCATTTGAAAAAAATAGCATGTGTTGTTCTATTCGGAGTAAAAATGACTTTTTGTAGCTCGCCTGTATGTCAAAAGTATAGCCTCGCCACAAAAAGTGTCATTTTTACTTCTAATAAAACAATATACTATTTTTGGATATCGACATTAGTATTTTTATAGAAACTACTTTATTATTTATAATTCAGCGGCGTAGCTTCTATTGATGCGGGTGATGCGTCGCATCCAGTTCTCTTTTTAAATTGGTTTGATTATTTTTTTAACCTGTTACATAGTTTTGAGAACACTTTTTAAAGCGGCTTAATACCTTTCTACTAATACTAAATGGTTGATTTAAACCTTGAAATACTCTTTAGTAACAGGCACTGTAAGAATAAATATGTAATAGACGTTACCAGATACATTATTTCATGAACAACAAACAACGGACTTTCTCGCACAGAACTAAACTGATAACATTAATTGTTGAACTAACGATACAATTACGCATTCTACTACAACTGAAATTACGATACTGCGAGATCAAGAGTCAATCGATTCAAGAAATAATTGCATAGGAAATTAATTGATAATGCATATACCGGGTCGGCATTTCTGGCCTTGGGTACCGATTTTCGTGCGTACGAAGAGTACGACCAATACGCTCAGTAAAATAAGGTGTACTGAAAAAAGAAAGAAGAGCAAGTATTTTCCCAAGCGGATGAAATCTAGCATCGGATTAAGTGGTTATGTAAACACTTCGCATTTTTCTCTCTCCAAGTTACTAGATCGCCATAACGATTCACTCATAAGGACGGTCCACACTTGCTATATAAAGGACGGTCCACACTTGCTATATAACACTGCTATATAGCAAAGTTATATAACATGTTACATATTTTTTAGTTATATTTAGCAAATTTCGATGCTATATAACTTGCTAGATGTTATCCATTTGTAGTCGGTAAAGATCAAAAGATGTTGTGCAACATTGCTATTGTAACATGAAACAACGCGTCCACACTTGCTAAATTTCTAGTTTAGCCGCTCATATTTTCAGGGACGTGCGCGACAGAATCTTAGTGTGGTGAGCTGATATTGGTTTGTTTATTTACTGGTCAATAATACCGTATGATCGAAAAAAACTGCGTCCCGTCGGCTTCGGCCTCCGTCCAGTTGGCTTGGACATGACGATCGATGACATTCCCCATATAATTTTCCATATAAAATGACAGCGATTTTCATTTCATAGTATGTATTTGGAAACAGAAAAAGTTGAGAAAAATGCGTAATCTAATAGGCCAGTTCCAGCGGGAACAAAAGAAATGCAAATCAGGAACTGCATGGTTTAGATGAAGTGGATAATTCAAAATGGTTTGCTTTTGCTTTTACAGTACGTCTGTCCGTTCTGTAGCTACGGGGTATCCGTGAGAGGGGAAACGATATTCTCTCGATGTTTTTCGTAAAAAATAGACGACGCGTCCCATCAATAAAAATTCGACAAATTTGCAAGTAGCCAATAAAATGAGTGGGCGGAGCGATTTGCGGTGACGCACTCGTCAAATCGACGTATAGAATATATTGCTGTTTATTTAAATGTTTTTTGTCTGCATTCCTTTCATTGACGCAGATCCAGCAGACGAGACGTACTGTAAATTATTAATGTTTTTAAAAGACAGAAACACACCACGAGAAACAGCCGAGGCAAGTATTGAAAAGATAAGCTAATTGAGTTCAACTGTATCTAGATCTTGCTGGTAGGCTATGGCGGACTCAAAACCGCTTTTTTTCTCGACTTTCTTTCCCTTAGTTCAAAAATAATTACGCACGCCGCTGCTGCGAGCTGAACCTCTTTCTCGCCAAAACGATTCATGACTACGAAAACTATAATGTGGACGGCTCCCGGTTTTTTAACATGTTACATGTAGCTTGTTAAATAGCAATGTTATATAACATGTTACTAAATGTGGACCCTCCTATAGACATGTAAACACCGACCCAAGACTTCGCTTGCCGACAGGGTATAATCGAGACAAAAAAAATTGGAAATTTGGAATTTTTTGAAACAAATTTTTGGATTTTTTTTTAATTTTTGGTTAAAAAACATAATATAATATCTTCATAATATGGCAGCATAAATAGTAGATTAATTGATAAGATTTGCAATAAAGAAAATAGATCTAATGGTTTTCAAAAATTAAGCGAAAAATCAATATTTTTTAAAATTTTCAAGATGATACAAGATGATAATTTTGAATTTTCTCACCTGGTTATTTTCATCCCGTACACAAAAATAATATTAAATAACAAACGGCTTAAACATAAATGAATTGTTATTAAAACCAGGATTTATTAGAAAAAAAAATATTTAAAAAAAACTTAATTCAATTTTAAGTATGATTTAAGTTTAAGTGCCGGAAAAAATTAACACATTATTGCAGTGACATTATCAATCACAAAATGTCAGTTTCTAATAATTTATACTTTGTATCACGAATCTCAATTTTGTCAATATTGTTTATGTTAAAAATGATTGGTATTTGAGTGAAAATATTTAGCCTTAACTGTTATGATCGTTATTCTTTGTTATAGGTAATTAACTAATGAGTTTTTAAATTTTATAAATATGCAAAGTATTTTTGTATACAAGGTATGAAAAAAATATAAGTATACTTACAATATTATCGATAGCATTTCGATACAGAGGTAAGCTGAAAGACTTTACACCCCCCAATGTATAAAGGAATACCAATGTGGCCACTGTAAGCAACATTGAATTTTTCAACATTTTTCTTTATAATACCGCTCAAACCGAAATACAGGTTTGCAATCACCTCTGTTCAAGACTGAGCACTTGTTTCTATTTGCTTTCTGTTTCTATGTCCCTATTTATACCTGGCCACAAAAACTGATAAGGTTTTTTCCCCACTATTTAAATTTTATTTTAATAATAATTACTCTCATAAAAATGGACATTTGTATTTATTAGTACATTTCGGTTTTGGACTAAACGCAAAAATATACATATAGAAATATGCGTAATACGAGGTGCTTATAGCAAAATTTAATCTTGGTGTTTATTAAATCTACATACGCTTTCGATATATGTATACGCTATGGAGTATAGAAGCTGTATATTAAAGGATAATTAAAAGAATTAGATTAAGAAGTAAAAAGACTTTACTTGTTAAATTTCTAAAATTGCCATGGTAACGAAATTCATGAAATGAAACTATATTTAATTTAGAATTATTATTTTTTAAGAGTCTATTACGCTGTACTTTCGGATAGCTCCTAGGGGTCGGTAAAACGGGTGTGTGGCTGAAAGATATATATTATATTACCTATATTTCAGAAATCTGCCCTAAGGCTTAGCCCGATCCTGTTGTGTGTGCTTTACCGAAAATTCCAAACACACGTGCTTTGATTAAGGGTTGATTATGCGTTGATTATATTAAAAATAGCGAGCAATTTGTTACAAAACCATATAAATTATATATCACTGTAATCACAAAACTTCAATCTATTTCCGTATTGTAACGGAATTTTAAATTATTTCTTTATTTTCGGGAAAATTTAGTCCAAACATAAGGAATATTTTGTTGATGTTTGACCATCAAAATCTTAAAAATAAAGAAGTTGTCTAAAAATGTGTTGCAATACGGATATAGTATAATCCTTTATCTTTAATTTCCTTCTTCGTTTTTGTAAAAATAGCTAGCCAGTTTTACATAAAACATTAAATGCCCAACGCTTATTTTGGTACTTTTTCGGACTAGTGAAATGGGCTCTTTTAAATAGCTCTACTTAAATCGTCGCCTGATTTTTTAAAAATTATACATATGGTTGAATTTAAAAAAAAACAAAGATTTGATCAAGTACTACAACAAAACAAACGGAAATAAACTTTTTTTTGTTCCTCCTCTGTAATATCCAATCTGTTGATTTAGACAGATCAAATAGATAATAGTATATTAATATCATGACATAATGAAAAACCCCTTTATATAACCATAGAAAAGAGTCTACCTATAATAAAAAAAATAAATATTGAAAAACTTTTAATTTTGACTGGTAGTGGGATGAGGTGATTCTGATTTCTTGTTTTTCGTTTCAGAAATGAGTCGTTCCTGGAACCCTATATCCAAGGACTGACCGACAGGCACAGCTGTCCTGTGGGCACATCTCCCTCGCCTCCACCCGTGAGAGTGGTACTGCCTCCACCCCCAGCGGATACATCATCCAGATCTATCTCCAGAGAATCCTTGATTTCTTCCAATGGTGGATCCGATGCCAGCAGTGAAGCTAGCGAAGGAGATGGTAAGTCGTATAAAAAAATTAGAGAGATAATCATAGACTTAAAATAAAATATAGACTGAGCATCTCATTCATAAATAGCTGGAACATGCGGTCAGACACTGTCTTGTTATTGTTGTGTTATTGTTTTAGGTTATAACGAGTGCGACACGAGCGATAGATAGGTTATCTCTGTCGTAACGGTCGTTCCCTGGCGACTCTGCCGAGAAACACAGCACTGTCTTTCGTTTCTCAAGTACACCTGAACTCTCCGTATCATAGCCGGGTAATTTTTTTATTTTAATGAAGCTGTAATTAAATTAAAAATATGTCGTATTTACTTTTTAACTTTTTTATATTTTATTAAGATTTAGGACAGGTTTTTTAAATAAAAGTTTAGAAAAAACAATTTAGAGTCCAAAAAGGATAAAAATAATAAAATACACGTTATAGAAGAAATTTTATAATCGAAATTGCGTAATTTTTGAAATTAATAATAAATTATTAATTTTAGTCAAACATTTACAACCCCTAATATTAATCAAAACAGGATCTATTCCACAGATATAATAGAATCGGCGACAGGGAGAAAAAAAAATATGATTGTTGTAATTTTTTTTCTGGTTAAGTGATGTCTTATTATGTAAATTAGAGAAAACATAAATCTGTTCCATTAAAGCAAGGAAGGTGATAAGAAGTGGATAAAATAAAAACTACATTTATTTAACTCGGTACTGTCTTTATTATACCGGGTGCGTCCCAAAAGTGGCTCATCCCCATAATTTTTATATTTTCAAATAAAAAACAAGATTTAGTATGTTGGTATATGAAATAAATTAGGATTGATTGACGCATTCAATTGTTTTTGGTCACTTCCTGTTTCAACGGAAATGACTATAACTTTTAATTTTTAAATGGCACCCTCGGTATATTTCTACTTTATTCGATAGAAAATGACACTTTGAATAGAATGACATATCATACGTCAACTTTTGACATTTTCGCATACGATTTAATTGTAATTGTAACACGCGGTTCATAACGACAATTTGACTCGAAATATTCGGTGGTATCAATATATTCATAAAAAATGCTTTTTCCAAATATGCTAATGAGTCACCCTTGTTCCATTTGAAAAAATTGACATATGTATGATTAAAAATACGATTTGTACATCTTTTAACCGGCCTATACAAGACACGAAACCTATTAGACGATCAAAACTATTTTTCCAAGGCTCCTTGATTAAAACTTAGTGTTTTTAACAACATCATGGCACCCTGATTGAAATTTAAAATACGATTTGTTTTTTAAGCGACAATGTCAAAAGTTGGCATATGATATGTCATTCTATTCAGAGTGTCATATTTTATCGAATAAAGTAGCAATATACCGAGGGTGCCTTTAAAAATCAAAAGATGTAATCATTTCGGTGAAAAAGGAAGAGACCAAAAACAATTGAATACGTCAATAAATCCTAATTTATGTCATATACCTACTAACATAAAAATCTGTTTTTTTTTTATCTGAAAAAATAAAAAAGTTATAGGGGTGAGCCATTTTTTGAGACGACCCGGTATATTAAAAATATTGTTTCATAATGTAATATCATTTTAAAATTCTTGTATGTTATTTTAGATTCTGAAGATAATTTTAGAATAAACCGGAATATATTTTTAATAAAAACATTATTAATTATTAACAGGGTTATAATTATGATTTTGTTACAATGTAAGTAAGTAAATAATGTAATGTAAGAGAAAAAATTCAGATTTTACATTTTACTAAAATATTATCTAAATAAGCGCCTTTCTACAACAACGCCACTGACTCCTAATGGGTAAATTGAGAGTTGCCTACCGGTCGAAAGTCGTTTCAAGACTTAAGTGGATTATTTAAGTCAAATTTCTTGCAAATTTGGCACTGGCGAACCATATTTTATAGTTCTTGAACAGAAAATGTCAATAAAATAAAGACTTAAGGACTACAAGCTAAGAAAATGCGTTAATACAGCCGGGGACATAGCGGCAACAAAGCTTTACCGCACACGTGCGACTCGTACTACAAGGTAATAAATGAATGAATAGGCTCGCTCGCCTCTAATCGGTGTTGTCATATTGTAAATAACTTTTCTTTTTTAAACAGTATCCGACTTATAATTTAGTAGTATAAGGACTATTTAATACATCTATGGAATATTAAAACCTACTTTATTAAACTGTAGTATTAATATCTCAATATATGTGTGTAACAAGAAAAAAAATATTGATAATATTAAAGACGTGACAACATAGGCTGGATGAGGAAGGCTCGGTCGACTGTACCCAGAAGTAAACATGTATACAAAAAAGATTGTTTGACCGCGTTGAGATGTAAATAGTGTAGTCTATATTTTATTTTAAGTCTATGGAGATAATAGTTTGGAGTTGAAACCTACGAAATATTTTTTTTCCATAGCAACTGTTAAAATTGTCTTATATCTAACAAAAATAGTAGATAAAATAGTACTTTAACAGCGATCGAGGATAGGTTAAAAATTTTATTTCTTCTCGCACGTTTTTTAATTGCTTCCATGTTTGAAAATGTTTATATTCCTTTTCATAAGTTATTCGGGATTTAAATGGAAGTAGTTTGGATATGGCGTTTGTCGCCTCAGCCTGAATATTTGTTGGTAATTTACTTATTTCGTTTTGAACCATTTCTGGCTCCAATTCAATCAGCAATCGACACGAAAGAGAATTAAAAAATATTGACTCAAAACTGACAACATAGATAAATGAAACAAGTTTAGATTGGAAAGTGCCCATAACGACAATGTAAACACTATTTGGCGCTATTCTTGCAACGCGCAACGGTTGCGACCCAAAACTTTTGAAAATTTCGGAGCGGTTCGGTTTTTTCCGGAATTATATCGCCAAATATTGTTTATTCAAATTTATTATTATTTTCGTTTAATTTTATAAATAAAATACAGTGTGTTGCATACAAGAAACTTTATTTTATATAAGGACGCATGTATGAAATACCTATGAAATATTGGAAACCGACGGCGACGTTATGCACGATCCACGATGGTTTTTGCAGTTCACAGTTCTCAGCACAGCTTTTTAAGTTTTTAATGCCACTTTTTCACAATTATCACTGGTTGGAGTAAATAAAACTTGAATTAAACTCACAAGATAGCAATAATTACTTTGAAAATGGACGCTATAAACACTTTTCGGAATTTCTTTAATGAGAGCGGTTTAGATTTTGAAAGATTATTATGATTTTTGAGGATTCTGACTTTGACAAGAGAAAATTATTTCTGTTTTTGTTTGCCGTTGTTCTTAGCGACCGCTATAGCAGCGCCAGATCGCGTATAACGGTCGCGACCCAAAATAATTTCGCGATCCAAAATTTTTACGGGCTTTCCAATGACTGACAACTAAAGAGACAGCTTTATTTAATTGTTAAATTACATAGAAACCAACGCCAACCCAGCACAATATTTTTTCTACTCGTAATAAATTCCTTGAAATAATAATTTCTGAATATTTTTTAAAACGTAACTCGCTATGGAAAGAAATATTGTTTTATACACGACGATAAAATTGCATTATCGTCTTGTATAAAAAATTACTATCTAGGACGATGATATTTTTAACCCGGTATAAATATTTTGTTACAGGGTATGGAGCAACATGTGATATTAGTCTTATGGAACGATTGCGTTTGTCTAACCAAATATGGTTTTTACCTGGCATTCAGAGGGCAGGAGCGTTTCACCTCCTGCAGGGCAAGGAGGAGGGCTGCTTCGTTGTGAGGAAGTCATCTCAGTCGGACACCATGGCACTCTCGGTACGGCTACCACCAGACAAAGGTAAATATCCTACAGTACTAGTCATTGTTTATAATAAAGTGTAATACTGATTTCTGAAAATTATTCAATTCTTCGAAAATATATATTTTGTATATTTGTAGGTTTGTAGGTTAATTGTACTATACCATCGAAAAAAAAATGACGTTGAGGACGGCTGGGAATTACAATCGATGATAATTTTGGCGAGGTCGAGGGTCACTTGGCCCGTATAATCTTTTCTTTATTCTGTCTGATTTTTTTCTCTTTTGGAAATAGATTGGTGTGTAAACGTTCTATCCTTTTTAATATTTCTATAATTAGTGTTAATTTTTTACAAGTCTTCTATCAAATTTTTACTAACTGACGTCTAGAGATTGACCTCGCCAAAATTATCGATTGTCAATCCCCAGCCGGCTTTGACACCGTTTTTTTTCATACCGTATTAATAAAACAATCATCCATTAGTGAAAAAATTTCTGTAATAATATATTGTTTAATTAGAAGTAAAAATGACAATTTTTGCGGCGAGACTATGACTTTGGCTACGACGTTTGACACTCAGTTTTTACTCCGAACAGAACATTCTATTTTTTTTCAAACGCCAAAAATAATTTTTTAAACAATGTGGTAATTGTTGAAAATGTATGAAATTGTATGAAATTACATATCGAAAAACTATGATTACGCTCGTTGAATTTGACACACTAAGTCAGTTTACTAATATATTTTCTTACTTTTAAAAGTGTTTACTTGTATGCCTAGACGTTAAAATGACTTTTTTATATTGTCAATCACGTCGCAAAAATTAATACTTTGTGACGTTTGAAAAAAAATATTTTTAGTAATTTTGATTTGTAGAAAACATATTCGATTTTTCTATTAAAATTCTTAGTCCTTAAAGTCACTCTCCGCCTTAACCTCGACAATAGTTACGGAAATATTGTTGTTCTAGGTCCATATATAGAACACTACCTCATTCACAGCTCAGAGGGCCGCTTAGGGTTAGAAACAAGCGAAAATCGTTTTATAGATATGGCCGCCTTGATTGCTCACTACGCCAGTTGTTGTGACGAACTACCGGTACAACTTACCCTGCCGAAAACAATAAGGGAATGTAAAAGTAGACAGCAGCTATCTTCCTTAGCCTTATTAGGACAGGTAGCAATATATAGTTCATACCAATTAAACTTTTAGTCACGTGATTAAGCTTGACCGGCACAGCGTTGCCCACTTTTACATATTTTCTTTAAAACAAAATATTTTAGAAAACAAAAACAAATTAATTATAAATATATAAACAGTTCTTATTTACACCAAAAAAACTCACCTCCTTAACAGCTCTTAAGGGACATAAAGGGCTAATACTACAGCTTTTCCGTTCAAAATGTTCTAATAAGGTTTCGATGAGTTTTTTGCAGCGCCTATTAAGCGCCTATTATCTTATAACTTCGCACTAACAGAGGTTCTAAAAAGAACAATGTTCGACTGCAAGGTCTGCTAGTAAACATTTTTAAGCTTAAAGTATCACAACACAATTCATTTAAGCAAAAAAACTTGTACTACAAACTTGTAATGACAATGTCAGGAAGTAAATAAATAAATATGGCAACTTGACATTTTTAACAGCAATTTTTTACAGCAGAGCTACCACCTGAAGCCCCAGGGGGAAATTCAAATTCCAGTTAGTCAGCCCGGCGCCGAATATGTCCATGGTTGGCAACAATGCATTTAAAAATCGCGCTCTCGATTACGTAACTAAATATTTAATTGGTATCGCTTATACATAATATAGTTCAAAAAAGTCTTCTGGTTGTTAAGACACATTACATTACATGAACTGTGTTCTATGAAAATTTGTATTTAAGGAATTCTGGAGCTATAGTCCCCCACCCTCGGCTGCTTCGAGCCCAGATGCGGATTTAATCCTTAATCTCAACCCTTTAATGAGTACCTTCAAGCAAGCGGAACCTGCAACGCCGGTACAGAACAAACCGGCGAGGCCTAACACACTTAATTTGCTCAATAAAAATGATCCGAAATCTGAACTGATAAAAAGTACCACATCTCTGAAAGCCAGCGATTCTTTGGGGAAGAATCCTCCACCTCCACCACCTAGGTAATTTGTAATTAATGACATTCAAGTCGAAACGAAACATTATTTAAGAAATTTATTTAAATTTTTGTAGGTGGTCAAAACCAACAACACCCCAACAAAGTAATTTTACAGTTACCACAACAGTAACGTTCAGTGTGAACTCTCAAAGCCCCAGCAATGAGAAACCCACGCAATCACAAAGTGAAATGATTCATTGCGATCCCAAGAGAATATCGCCTGAAGGACAGGGAAATAATTCGACAGTATCATCTAGAGGAAGTCTGAGAAACAAAAGTATAAGCAACGTGACATCACCAAACTCAGTACTATCCCCTAGTTCGGATAGTTTTATTTCACCTGACACTCTCTCTCCGTTGTCGGTTACTAAAGGTACTCGACATAGCAAAAGGACCAAAAATAAAATTTCAAAACATTATCAGGTAAAACACCTTTTTAGTTGCTTTATGTGGTGGATTCATCTCTCCAAAAAAATCCTATATGGGTATTTCGCCATTGCAAGAAAATCTACAAAATAAAATAGTTATTTTTTTGTAAACACTGCTGCGTTAATCCAACGGAGACTAATAATAATTGTCAGCAGTTAAGTTTACTGATAAACAAATTTGCCTAACGACCAAAAAATTGCTTAACGTTTCGGAAAGTTTATCTCTCTCCGTCGTCGGAAGCAAAAAAATACAGAGAATAAAGAAAAAACTATTTAAATATTTAAATGCAATTATTCGAAAATACTTTTTTTTTTAAAACAGATACGTCTACAAAAACCGTTGACGTTCTGTTAAAATGACATTATATGAAGTTAAACTTCAAAAGTAACAATTACTACCTGATAACAATTACTTATAAGGTAAAATCAAAAAGCTTCAAACTTTCTGTATGATTATTTTTAATTTGTTTTTAATTTTTACTTATGTTATGTTCTTTAAAATCAAAGAAGCGATTGTCATACATTAACTAACATCTACAGATGCATGAGCAATATATTTATTATTAGATTGTAAAAAAGACTCTTTATGTATCTTTTAGAGGCTATCGCTTCTTTCATTATAATTGCCCTGTGTCCCAAAAATGCTGACAAATCTTAGATTTGTGAAAGTCGCCCTTTCTTAAATAATCTTTATCTTCTTTAATTCGAACATTTTTTTTTCGGAAACCAGCATTAAGCATTTTTTTGTTTATTAGGCAAATTTGTTAACCAGTTAAACTTAACTGCTGACAAGTTGGTCTCCGTTGGATTAACGCAGCAGTGTTTAACAAAAAATAACTATTTTATTTTGTAGATTTTCTTGCCGAATTGTAAATATACTCGTAAATCGAAATTATTGTTTTAGGAAAGCGATATAGTTGATTCACCGACAATGCTCTATTATAAGAGCGGTTTGGGTGACAAGATCAGCGATTATGAAGACGTGTGGACCAACGACGGTCAAGTAATCAAACCTAAAAGCAATACCAATGGAAGTGGACACCTGGTCTCGCCAGATATTCTCCAACATATGCCTGGACACATAGTTTCTCTAAATAATAATGTACTGAGCCCTACAGATTCCTCGCATCATAGCTCATCGCACAGGAGTTTGTGTGGTACACCAGTTCAAAATGGTTCAAATAAAGGTCAGTTTCTATTTTCAACAATAACTGCGATATAAATTGCAACAGTAAAAATTTGACACCGAATTGCGATCTTAACGAGTGTATTTTGACAGTACCTAACAGACAGTCCCCAGCTACGGATTTTCTGTCTCCGCCTCAGCACGAGGACCAATCTAGCCCTCACACACCTAAACAGCAGAGCCCTTTCTATGCGGAACCCGCCGATTCATTGGCACCTGTACAGCAGATACCACGAAGAATCATTAGCAGGGTGGCGCCGGGCATTCCCGCACACCATCGACATTCTAACCCGCCGGGACTAAACTCGATGAAGTCCATTAATCCAGTTCTCGAAAAAGTCGACGATTTTGGAGAATTCAATGGAGGTAACGAAACTTTAATATACAGGGTGGTCCGAACTGTATTCCGGAAAGTTCGTATAAATGTATGCCCTAAATTGCTCAGTTTCGGAGATACAGGGTGTAGAAGTTTCATTTTTTATTTCGATTTTTCCAAATAATTTCTGCAGTAACGTCAATATTTGGATGAAAATTGGTGTCTGGAAGTTTTTTGACATGTCAATATATGACTCCTGTTTGTAGGAGGCGCCACATACATGTGTTTTAACTGTTTTGAAGAGTCATAACTTTTTGTGCGTACCTGTATAAAACTACTGAGTGAAAAATTATACCTTTCAGTGATTTTTTACGTAAAAAATGTCTCTTGGTAAAAATCGCTACGAGTTATTTAGAATGGAAGTAGTCGATACATGTCGTTATTGACAAAAAATAAACATGTTGAGTAGATAGGTACAGTTCCTGTGTCCATGAAAGGAATGCGGACAAAAAACATTTAAATAAACAGCAACATATTTTATACGTCGACTTGACGAGTACGTCACCGCAAATCGCTCCGCCCACTCATTTTATTGGCTACTTGCAAATTCGTCGAATTTTTATTGATGGGACGCGTCGTCTAATTTTTTACGAAAAACATCGAGAGAATATCGTTTCCCCTCTGACGGATACCCCGTAACCTCAGAACGGACAGACGTACTGTAGTTATTTGACTGAAATGATAAATTTGGGAATTTTTTATTTTTTTAAATTAATCATAAATTTTTCTTCAAAAAAAATGATGATAAAACAGTTTCTGTTGAACTTTTGACACAAAATCATTTCAAATTTATGATTTCATCAGTCTAATAACTATTTAGTCAACATGTTTAATTTATAACAATGATGACAGGTATTGATAATTTCCATTCTAAATATCTTGAGAACGGTTGCTCGTAGCGATTTTTACCGAGAGACATTTTTTACGTAAAAAGTGACGAAAATGTATATTTTTTCACTCAGTAGTCTTATACAGGTACGGAGGAAAAGTTATTACTCTTTAAATCGGTTAAAAATATGTAAGCTATACAAGTAGGAGTCATATTGACATCAAAATCGAATTTTTCATGTCAAAAAACTCCCAGACACCAATTTTTATCCGAATATTGATGTTACTTCAGAAATTATTTGGAAAAAATCGAAATAAAAATAAAACTTCCTCACCCTGTATCTCTAAAACTAAGCATTTTAAGACATAAGTTTCCGGAATACAGTTCGGACCACCCTGTATATGTTTAATAATCAGTATTGCCAACTTAATAGGAATCTTACTCAATGTAGTAGGTTCGGCAGAAGCCTAGGTAGGAAATTTTACCGTTAGTAGGAGACGATTAGTAACTTAAGCGTTGGCAAAACTGATGATAATAATTATTAATAATTATTTACGTTGGCGTTAATTGATATTTCAGGTTTAATGTCATCGTCGGTCGACAATCTCAGTCCGAAGCAAAGATTTTTGGGTTTAAGAAAGACAGAAATCAAGCCCGTGTTGCCGCCATTCGTCAAACCAAAATTATATGCGAACGAAAGTTGGCAAGTGGACAACAGTTGGAAATTTATGAGTAAGATATTTTAAACGCTTGTAAACTTTAGGTTCATAATTTCATATCGTATTTATTTAGCTCACGAAGGTGATATAACAGTGGAATCTAGCGAGCCAGACTACGAGTCCGACTGGCAGGCCATTCCCAATTTACTAAGTTCTTTGGATAGCTACACCCCGGATAATTTAGACGGACAAGTTACCTTGCAAGATCTCATAAGCAAACGGTATGTAATAATTCTATTAATAGTCGTTATTATTATTTTATAAAAATTATATTTTAGATTTCCCGATATACGTACCACTTCAAACGTGGTAGCTGAAGGGGAGCGTTACCGCATGTCCTCCTATGACAACGTGGAAGAGAGGAGAGTACCGCGGGCACCTCCCTCAGAAATTAGCGAATTGACGGAATTTTCCGACCCATGGGCCGAGCCGAATCAGGTCATCACCGAAACGGACGAATCTTATTCGGAGACGCCTCAGAAGATGAAGTGCGCTTCGATTGGCAGATCGAAAAGTTTCCGGGACCGTTTAGATCCAGTTATTGGTAATACAACCTCTACACTATGTTAAAAACTGTTCGAAGCAGGTCAAGGTCGTGTTTCCACGACTAATTTTGCCTCGTCTCGGCTTATTTCCGCTTGTCTTGACCTACTTTAATTTCTTAAAAACGCCTCGAAACTACTCGTGGGGGGATTTTTTTGAAGACAATAAAATAATAATCAATATGATTTATTTTTAAATTTCCGATGCACGTGATCAACTTTGAGTGACAAGCCATGTCGACAGCGCTGCCAGATTGTGATGGATTTATGAAATGAATCTTAATTTAAAATTGACAAACAATATATTTATTATATAATTTTTTAAAGATTTTTACGTTTTATTTGTGATTTAATAACTAATATTTTAGTAATTAATTGATTAATTTGTTTTATAGCTTATTTTACTTAAGACATATTGGCAAAAACTAGTCCATTATGAGGATTTATTCTAACCGTTATTATGGGTTATTTATTTATTTATTGATGTACATCTTACAACGCCATAAGTGGTAATAACAAGTAAGGGGGTGCTATTCATGCGCAAACTAATAATCATAGAATTTACTAAAAACTAACGTAGAAATAGCTTTGAAAGTGGTATAATGTGCTTATCAATCTAACTTACTTCTCTGGCTGTAGTCAAGGGTAATAAAGGACCTTTATTGTCACGTTCTTGTTCAAAATAATTTATCAGGGAAGCTACAAGCTCCTTGCTTCGATTGTTTAAATGCCTCGGCATATTTTCAACACAATTTCAAGAAATGCAATACAAAAACTCGAAAATTTGGTTCTTAAAAGAACTGTTTGTGCTTAAAAGTACAATCTTAAAAAAAACTATAAAAATAGGCAAAAAACCGAGAATTACTCACAAATATTCAACAACACGATATTATACAAAATAATGACTGACATTAGGATAATTGTCAAATAATAAACGACAACGTTGCTGAACACGGCGCAACGTGTTTAAATGGCGCAATTCAGTTTAAACTAATTTTTGCAGCTTTAATCGAAATAAAATATCTGTTACAATCATTTACTCTATAAAGTAAAATAAAGAGCTGCTCGGTATCTTAAATTATACAACAAATTTAAACATTTTTGCCAGATTTTCATTTAGTCAGGTTTATAGACTTTAGTGTCAATGTCGATATGATTGATGACGTGCATCGGAAAATGTTTTGCGATCACCGTATGTGTATGGATTTCTATAATAGAAAACTTCATTTTCAGCGTCAACACCTATTGAGGCAATGAAGAACGCGGAACACAGCAACGGCCCCAAAACCGTTGGCTCGGCGATAAGAAATTACGCCCTCGAACTTGCTCAAGACAAAAGTACAACGTTTGCTCAAAACATCGATAATTTTATAGCTTGCACCTGCGAATCCAAAGAGATTAGTCCGCAGATAGTTATGCGTAATATGAGACAATTTATGTCCGGCATGAAAAACTACCTGGTGAAGCATGGCGAAAAGGAATTTTACAAAGAAATAGAACGAGAGAGGAATAAGGTAATAGTCTAAGAGGCAGTGAAGATTTTCGGTACTTATTTTTATCTCAGTAGAGTCTAAGTTTATTATTATTCTTTATATGGTTATCTTCGGCAGCATATTATGCAGATAAAAATTCTGCAAGTAAAAAAGTTCTTATAAATGTATGTCCTAAAATGCTTAGTTTTGGAGATACAGGGTGTAGAAGTTCCATTTTTATTTCAATTTTCCAAATGATTTCTGAAGTAACGTGTATATTTGAATGAAAATTAGTGTCTGGGAGTTTTTTGACATAAGAAATCTGATTTTGATGGCAATATGACTCCTATTTGTAGGGGGCGCCACCTACATGTGTTTTAACTGTTTTGAAGAGTAATAACTTTTCGTCCGTACCTGTATAAATATACATTTTCGTAATTTTTTACGTAAAAAATATCTCTTGATAAAAATCGCTACGAGCAACCATTCTCAAGATATTTAGAATGGAAATAATCAATACATGTCATTATTGACAAAAAATAAACATGTTGATTATAGTTATTTGTGACTGAAGTTATAAATTTGGGAACTTTTATTTTTTTCAATTAATCATAAATTTTTCTTTGAAAAAATAGGAGCTATATTGACATCAAAATCCCCAAATTTCTCTTGTCAAAAAACTTCCATACAGCAATTTTCATCCAAATGTTGACGACACATTTGGAAAAAAATTGAAATAAAAATGAAATTTCTACACCCTGTATCTCCAAAACTAAGCATTTTAAGACATACATTTATACAAACTTTTTTACTTAGTTTTATCTGCAGAATATGCTGTCGAAGTTTCCGGAATATAGCTATTTTAGTTATAGCTATTTTTTTTCGGCAGGCCCCCAAACTAATTTGCAATCTTTAATTTGCAGCTAAAGTCGACTGAATTTTTAAACCTGGACGCCATACTGGAAGGTGTCATGCACAAATTGGTTGTGAAACCGTTAAAGAACCATCTCCAAAAACTGTTTCTAGACCACTATACAAAGACTGGCGCTATCAGACTTCTGGCTGATAACATTCAATACGCCGCCACGCGGCCTCTATGCGAACTAGCGATAAACTCGAAAATAACACTACCATCTGAAAATATGCTCAACAAGATTTCGGTCATTATACAGAGACTTCAACAATCCAATTCCCCTTTAGACAAACTGGAATATCTCTTGGCCGCTATAGCTACAATATTCAGTTCTGTAAGTATTTTTCCCGTAGACAAGTAAGTGTGTAAAAAATGTATGTGTTTTTAAAAATGTACTATGTTCATATGATTAAAAAATAATTTTTGTTGCAGGTTAAACGGGACACTTAACAGGTTCGGGACGTATGGTCCATTTAGGAGCGGATGACTTTTTGCCGATTTTCGTTTGGGTTCTGGTCAAAACGAACTTTGTAGCCGCCGAAATAGAAGCCGAATACATGTGGGGTCTTTTGCATCCTTCGCTGTTCAGTGGCGAGGCCGGGTATTACCTAACCACCTTATCTTCTGCGGTGCACGTACTTAAAAAACTTTAAAAAGGGCTCTGAAGAAAACAACATGAAAAACCACGTTGAAAATGATGTAAGTTAAATTACATAAACGGCTATAATTGAAATTATTTGATATTATTTAAATTGTTGTTATTGATTCACATCAAAATTTTGATAATGAAAATTTCCAGACTTTTGTTTGCAGTGCTGTGGGTCTGGCAGTAGTTGTGTGTCGGGTATCTGTAGCTCCTAAAATAAAAAAACTTAGCAATTTTTGTTTAAGTGCAAACCCAAGTATGTGTTCCCATATAACTAGAGGATATCCACTTGAGGATATCCACCAAGGATATAGTAAATATCTTAGGGATATCCAAAAACCCGAGGAGGATATTTATAGGATATCCAGATGGGACAAAAAAAGTCATCTTCAACACATCCCTAGGCAGACCTTTTACGATTATTTGGGATATTTATAGGATAATACAAGGATGATGTTGGGAGCATTATAGAATATTTTTAGGGCATTATATCAGGCCTGTTTTTTGACAATACTTACTTCATCCTTAGTTTATAGTAAAAACGTTCGCAATTTAGTTTTATATTTAGCCACATTTTGACGTTATTTATTGGATATTTTATTAACAGCTCTAAAATATACCAACATATTAGAAAGTCAATGAATTTTGCACAAAATTTGAAGTTTATTTGTATGAGTTAAGAGGTTTCACTTATACCAAAATTACCGAAAAAAAAACGGCGTTGAATTAGCTTGAAAATTACGATCGATGACATTCCCCATATACCTTTTTACATACAAAATAACAGCAATCTTCATCAAGCCACCTCTAACGCCGTTTTTTCGATCGTATGGTATTATACCAGATCATACTACCCTTTATGGAGTCTAGCAGTTTATGTCTAGCAGCAACAGTTTATATCAAAGTTAGCACACAGGATACAGATATAATTTCTAACACCACATTCCAGAAACTCACAATTTAAACACAAAATAGGATTTCTGTTTGAATAGATCAAACACGAAAATGAGTTTAGGGATAAAGAACAAGCGCTTTTCGACAAATGTTCACCTATAATTTTGTCACAAATTTTTCATTGTGAGATCCTGAGTTGTTCGTCGTTTTTCGACATTAGTTGAGTTTAGGATAGAATTTCTGCTAGAACAAGGCTAGAACTATGAGTATAAGAAAAACTAAGTCAAACTCAACCACTTTTGTTAGTTTCAGTCATTTTTAAGCCCATTCAATATCGACAAACGACCGAATTCACCTCGAATTTCACTTAAATCAAAGAACTGAATAATACTAATACACGATGCAAAAACAAACAACTGGTGAGATGGATTGTGGGAAATTTGTTGCGCGGGCGTTTTAAATTCTCTGTATTAGTGGGAGTGGCCAAGCTCATAAATATCCAGATTATCCAGAAGACACCAACAGGATATGTTGTTGCCTTGACGTAATATATATCTATCTGTATGGTTTATTGCATTTTATGTAATAGAAAAAGTAGTACATTATTTATTTTTCCTAAATATCTAGACGATATTGTTAGGATATTTTATTATCATGAGCATGTTTGGATATCTCAGCTGGATGTATATTAGATATACGACAGAGAGAGATATCCATAGGATATTCTATTCTGAGACATCTACAGGATTTCAGGATGTCTGGAGGATATCCTATAGATGGCTTTATAAGATAATCTTATAATGGGACATTCCGACATTCTATGAATATCCTGCGGATATTGTGTGTTATAAGTGGTTAGGGATGTATTTCAGGAAAATAATATAACCCTACAGGGTGACTCAAATAAATGTGAGTGGATCGGGATGATTTTTTAAATGGAACACCCTGTATTTGCACTTATTCGCTTCTTCTGATCATCACTTTACATAATCTTAAGATCTTTTTAAATAAGTTTTGATCATAGATTTAGGAAGAACAGATATCACATTTTGCATTTTAACCCGATCAAACAATCGGAGGTTGACTACGTACTGTAAAAACCAACTGAGATAGAGAAGGCGACATTGCCACATCTCAAATTTGCTCCTATCTACTTAGTTTGATTTGCAGAAAAGGTGACTTTTAAAACCTTCACCGGATATCAATAAATCTCTTAATTTCTACTCAAATTAATAGTTTATTTTTAAAGAAGCATGCGTAATAATATGTTATTAACCAGAGGATATATGCGTTACTATTAAAGGACATGTTTACTGTTTAATGTTCTGAAACGTCTAGAACTATTGGCAACGTCGCGCTAGTCTTCCAGAATGAAATAAGCCGTCCGTCCCACCACCCTCGCGACGGCCAATGGTCCGTTATAGCGTACTACGTTTAGCTTACGGTGTGTTTGAAGTCGGAATCAAGTCCGAAGTGAACTTTTCAGTGTTATTCAGTAGTTTTGCTTTTGTTTAACGTACTTTTGAATCTACGAATTTTCAATATGGTACGACAGTGTCAAATGTGTGGAAAAATAAGCCCAAATTACCTGAATTTGTCTTTTCACAGGTAGGTATTGCTTCCGCCGCGCCGTAATCGCCGTACATAGGTGTCCCACAAGGGAGCCTCTCTCAATTAAAATAATTTCTAATTATATTTGTTGAATTTTGAGCTATTAAAACAACGTAGTAGAAGCTGGTAATTGAATTATAATTCTTCTCACTACTACCTAACTGTTGCAGATCATAACAAATTTGAATATAAACGTTGCATTTGAAACTTTATTATAAGCCAGAATGTGACATTTTTTCTTAAAATTATGTCATATTTTGGTCATTATATACGATGATCTAAAGGAATTTTGTTTCAACAAATAAACAAAGGTGTTTACCCGCCCTTTTTACATTTTATTGCATTATTATATCTGCCCCTTCGGCCTCGTTTAAACAATTTTTTACCACCGTATCTTTTTTTTTAGAATGGGAAGAACTGTAAATAATTCTTAGGCTACTAGTTTTATACATACCTATATACAGAATAATCAGGCCTCCAAAAAAAAGCTTTTTATCTATTACGTTTTTGGTTTGTAATTTTTATTTCAATTTTTACATAAGATGGGGCCATTGTAACGCACATTTTCAAAAAATATTTTTGTCAACATACAGGGTGATTCAAACCGCAATACATATGCTTAATACAGTTCATGAAGATTGGGACATTTAACTAAAATTTGATTGTCTGATGAAGCTACCTTAAAAGTAATGGATTTGTAAATAAACGTAATATTCATTATTATGCAACAGAAATCCCATATTGTAGCACACAGATTTGATACTTTTAACGATAAATGCCTTCTATTGAGAGACTAAAAGGTAATTGCCTCTTATCAGAGCCATCATAATACAAGAAGAAGACCGAAAGTCAAATCTTGTCTTTATATTTTCAAAACACAATTTTCTCATTAAATGGTTGATTTTAGGTATAGGAAGTTATTAATAATACAAGATTAAACAACTATTACACAGTACTTTACGGGAAGCTATCGATTGCGAACTAACTAAATCGTTACTAATTACTAATTTTAAAAAAGTTCTTTTTAAGATCAAAAAGGTAAAACTAAAACCTAAATTATTTCATTTGAGATTAAACCGGAAGTTCTAATGTTGCCTATTTCTAAACAAGAAAAACACCAGTGCAGTTGACGCGCTAAAATTCAAAATAAATTCTTAGTTATAAATCGTTTGTAAATAGTTCTATAAGTCTTTTATCGTTATTGTTTTTGTTAATTAGTGTTAAATAAATAGTGTTTAAATAAATTGTGACTTTCTATCCACACGGAACCGACGAAAAACGTAACAATATTATGCAGATAAAAATTCTGCAAGTAAAAAAGTTCTTATAAATGTATGTCCTAAAATGCTTAGTTTTGGAGATACAGGGTGTAGAAGTTCCATTTTTATTTCAATTTTTTCCAAATGATTTCTGAAGTAACGTCTATATTTGAATGAAAATTAGTGTCTGGGAGTTTTTTGACATGAGAAATTTTGATGGCAATATGACTCCTATTTGTAGGGGGCGCCACCTACATGTGTTTTAACTGTTTTGAAGAGTAATAACTTTTCGTCCGTACCTGTATAAAACTACTGAGTAAAAAAATATACATTTTCGTAATTTTTTACGTAAAAAATATCTCTTGATAAAAATCGCTACGAGCAACCATTCACAAGATATTTAGAATGGAAATAATTAATACATGTCATTATTGACAAAAAATAAACATGTTGATTATAGTTATTTGTGACTGAAGTTATAAATTTGGGAACTTTTATTTTTTTCAATTAATCATAAATTTTTCTTTGAAAAAATAGGAGCTATATTGACATCAAAGTCCCCAAATTTCTCTTGTCAAAAAACTTGCATACAGCAATTTTCATCCAAATGTTGACGACACTTCAGAAATTATTTGGAAAAAAATTGAAATAAAAATGAAATTTCTACACCCTGTATCTCCAAAACTAAGCATTTTAGGACATACATTTATACGAACTTTTTTACTTATTTTTATCTGCAGAATATGCTGCCGAAGTTTCCGGAATATAGCTATTTTAGTTATAACTATTTTTTTTCGGCAGGCCCCCAAACTAATTTGCAATCTTTAATTTGCAGCTAAAGTCGACTGAATTTTTAAACCTGGACGCCATACTGGAAGGTGTCATGCACAAATTGGTTGTGAAACCGTTAAAGAACCATCTCCAAAAACTGTTTCTAGACCACTATACAAAGACTGGCGCTATCAGACTTCTGGCTGATAACATTCAATACGCCGCCACGCGGCCTCTATGCGAACTAGCAATAAACTCGAAAATAACACTACCATCTGAAAATATGCTCAACAAGATTTCGGTCATTATACAGAGACTTCAACAATCCGATTCCCCTTTAGACAAACTGGAATATCTCTTGGCCGCTATAGCTACAATATTCAGTTCTGTAAGTATTTTTCCCGTAGACAAGTAAGTGTAAAAAAATGTATGTGTTTTTAAAAATGTACTATGTTCATATGATTAAAAATAATTTTTTGTTGCAGGTTAAAACGGGACACTTAACAGGCTCGGGACGTATGGTCCATTTAGGAGCGGATGACTTTTTGCCGATTTTCGTTTGGGTTCTGGTCAAAACGAACTTTGTAGCCGCCGAAATAGAAGCCGAATACATGTGGGGTCTTTTGCATCCTTCGCTGTTCAGTGGCGAGGCCGGGTATTACCTAACCACCTTATCTTCTGCGGTGCACGTACTTAAAAACTTTAAAAAGGGCTCTGAAGAAAACAACATGAAAAACCACGTTGAAAATGATGTAAGTTAAATTACATAAACGGCTATAATTGAAATTATTTGATATTATTTTAAATTGTTGTTATTGATTCACATCAAAATTTGGATAATGAAAATTTCCAGACTTTTTGTTTGCAGTACAGGGTCCGGCAATAGTGTGTCGGGTATCTGTAGCTCCTAAAATAAAAAACTTAGCAATTTTGTTTAAGTGCAAACCTAAAGTATGTGTTCCCATATAACACAACACAATCCTATAGATATCTTGAGGATATCCACCAAGGATATAGTAAATATCTTAGGGATATCCAAAAACCAGAGGAGGATATTTATAGGATATCCAGATGGGACTAAAAAAGTCATCTTCAAGACATCCCTAGGCAGACCTTTTACGATTATTTGGGATATTTGTAGGATAATACAAGATGTTGGGAGCATTATAGAATATTTTTAGGGCATTATATCAGGCCTGTTTTTTGACAATACTTACTTCATCCTTAGTTTATAGTAAAAACGTTCGCAATTTAGTTTTATTTAGCCACATTTGGACGTTATTCATTGGATATTTTTATTAACAGCTCTAAAATATACCTACATATTAAGTCAATGAATTTTGTGTCAAAATTTAGAAGTTTATTTGTATGAGTTAAGAGGTTTCAATTTATACTGTACCATCGAAAAAAACGGCGTTGAATTAGCTTGAAAATTACGATCGATGACATTCCCCATATAATTTTACATACAAAATAACAGCAATCTTCATTTCCAAGCCACCTCTAACGCCGTTTTTTTCGATCGTATGGTATTATACCAGATCATACTACCCTTTATGGAGTCTAGCAGTTTATGTCTAGCAGCAACAGTTCATGGTACAAAGAAAACAAGGTATGATCGATAGCGGCCCCAATTTCGTTAAGTTTGCGCATACCACCTGTGACGTCATACGCCATACAAAAAAATATCCATCTTGTGCAATTGCCACTAATAAAAAAAGACCTAAAATAGGGAAGAATTAGGACATAACCCTAAAAGTTATGTCAAATCATCGTGCTTGACATTTGAAAAATTATTCTGACATTTATCGTGTCATCTGTTTGACAATTTGAAATTGGCGCGCGGAACTTGCCGACCAATGGTGCCGTTTATCACCTGTGACGTAGTGACCAACCTGCGCAATATCATACCTTGTATTCTTTGTATCATGGCAACAGTTTACATCAAAGTTAGCAGACAGGATACAGGTATAATTTCTAACACCACACATTCCAGAAACTCACAATTTAAACACAAAAATAGGATTTCTGTTTGAATAGATCAAACACGAAAATGGGTTTAGGGATAAAGAACAAGCGCTTTTCAACAAATGTTCACCTATAATTTTGTCACAAATTTTTCATTGTGAGATCCTGAGTTGTTCGTCGTTTTTCGACATTAGTTGAGGTTAGGACAGAATTTCTGCTAGAACAAGGCTAGAACTATGAGTATAAGAAAAAACTAAGTCAAACTCAACCAGTTTTGTTAGTTTCAGTCATTTTTAAGCCCATTCAATATCGACAAACGACCGAATTCACCTCGAATTTCACTAAATCAAAGAACTGAATAATACTAATACACGATGCAAAAACAAACAACTGGTGAGATGGATTGTGGGAAATTTTTTGCGCGGGCGTTTTAAATTCTCTGTATTAGTGGGAGTGGCCAAGCTCATAAATATCCAGATTATCCAGAAGACACCAACAGGATATGTTGTTGCCTTGACGTAATATATATTATCTATCTGTATGGTTTATTGCATTTTATGTAATAGAAAAAGTAGTACATTATTTATTTTTCCTAAATATCTAGACGATATTGTTAGGATATTTTATTATCATGAGCATGTTTGGATATCTCAGCTGGATGTACATTAGATATACGACAGAGATATCCATAGGATATTCTATTCTGAGACATCTACAGGGTTTCAGAATGTCTGGAGGATATCCTATAGATGGCTTTATAAGATAATCTTATAATGGGACATTCCGACATTCTATGAATATCCTGCGGATATTGTGTGTTATATGGGTTAGGATGTATTTCAGGAAAATAATTTAACCTCTACAGGGTGACTCAAATAAATGTGAGTGGATCGGGATGATTTTTTTTAAATGGAACACCCTGTATTTTATTACATTTTTCGCTTCCTTTCTGATCACTTTACATAATCTTAAGATCTTTTTAAATAAGTTTTGATAGTTTCAGAGATATTAAAAAAAAATAAAAAAAAATGTTTTTCAGCCTTTTTTAAAAAAATTATTAAAAATACAAGGACTGTCCTGAAATCAAAACTATATTAGGTGTTTACTTTAGATAGTCTGTACTTATTTTGCTATAAATTATAAATATCGTAATCTGAAATTATACAGGGTGTTCAAAATTCTGCGCCAAACTTTCTAAAATATTTAATAATTTTTCTTCGTTTTTTAAATGGAACACCCTGTATATTATGCTTTTAATAGATGAAGAATTAAAAAAAATAAACATTTTTTGTATTCACTTTCAACGGTAAAATACGAGAAAAAAATCATTGGGTGGCTTTGATAAAAGTTTACTATGGAAATGCCATATGAAATATAAAACCGCGAATATCTGCGAAACCGTTAAGAGTCCATTTCACTAGTCCAAAAAAGTAGCAAAATAAGCGTTCGGCATTTACCGTTTTATGTCAAACTGGCTAGGTATTTTTACAAAAACGAAGAAGGAAATTAAAGATAAAGGATTATACTAAATTCGTCGTGTAGCACATTTTTAGATAACTTGTTCATTTTTAAGATTTTGATGGTCAAACATCAACAAAATAAACGTTATGTTTGAACCTGGTTTGAACTAAATTTTCTCGAAAATCAAAATATAATTTAAAATTCTGTTACAGGAGGGAAATAGATTGAAGTTTTGTTATTACAGTGATATATAATTTATATTGTTTTGTAACAAATTGCTCGCTATTTTATGGAAAATGCTGAAGCTCTGCAAGCCCTAATCTAAGGAATTTAAAAATTATATTTTTTCACTGAAAGCACGTGCGTTTGGAATTATAGCTGTGGTTTAACACGACAGGATCGGGCTAAGTTTTAGGCAGATTTCTGAAATCTAATACATATAAAAAATTGTCTTCTCACAGGTTGTTACTGTACTCCTCCGAAACGGCTTAACCGATTTTGATGAAATTTTATATGCATATCAGTACGTCTGAGAATAGGTTGTTATCTATTTTTTATACCCTTAAGTGACAAGGGTGACCCACCCCTTTTTTTTATTTTTTTGGGAAAATTTTTAATTTTTCTTTTTTACGATGTGGCATTAAAAAATACATACAACACTAAATTTTCACTTTCAAATAAGGGTTGTTTTTTTTTTTAATTTTTTGTTGCCATACTTCTCCGTAACGGCTTGACCGATTTTGATAAAATTTTATATGTATATTCAGTAGGTTTGGTTTCAATAGGTTGTTATCTATTTTTTCTACCCTTAAGTGACCAAGGGGGCCCACCCCATTTTTATTATTTTTTGGATAAAATTTTTAATTTTTGTTTTTTTTTAATTTTCACTTTCAAATAGGGGTTGTTTTTTTTTAATTTTTTGTTATCATACTTCTCCGTAACGGTTTGACTGATTTTGATGAAATTTTGTATGTATATTCAGTAGGTCTGAGAATAGGTTGTTATCTATTTTTATACCCTTAAGTGACAAGGGAGGCCTACCCCAATTTTTTTTTAATTTTTGGACAAAATTTTTAATTTTTGTTTTTTTACGATGTGACATTAAAAAATACATTTAACGCTAAATTTTCACTTTCAAAGAGGGGTTGGTTTTTTTTAATTTTTTGTTACCATACTTCTCCGTAACGGCTTAACCGATTTTGATGAAATTTTGTACGTATATTCAGTAGGTCTGAGAATAGGTTGTTATCTATTTTTTATACCCTTAAGTGACAAGGGGGGCTCACCCCAATTTTTTTTATTTTTTGGACAACATTTTTAATTTTTGTTTTTTACGATGTGGCATTAAAAAATACATACAACACTAAATTTTCACTTCTTTGTCCGTGAGAGGGGAAACGATATTCTCTCGATGTTTTTCGTAAAAAATTAGACGACGCGTCCCTTCAATAAAAATTCGACAAATTTGCAAGTAGCCAATAAAATGAGTGGGCGGAGCGATTTGCGGTGACGTACTTGGCAAGTCGATGTATAAAATATATTGCTGTTTATTTAAATGTTTTTTGTCCGCATTCTTTTCATAGACACAGATCCAGCAGACGTACTGTAATATTTCTACATAAATTGAATTACGCTTATTTATGTGTGAAAATTTACTATTTTTTGTCACTGAAAATCGTTAATATCACAGTTAATATGTTGTTTTGTTTGGTTTACATGTTTTCATACACAATTGTATACTTTTAAAGCTTTTTAGCTAGGGATTTTAGGGATTTTAGTTAAGTATCTATCTATAATTTGAAGAGCGGCACATACCGACATTATAATTTTATACATTATCAATTAGAATCCGCTAAAAATACTGTAATATATGAAAGGAATTTATATTATATTATATAGCATCGAGATAAATAAATAGACCGCTCAATAAACAAACTCGTGCATCGAAAATCATCAAAGGCATTGCGCTCACAGGCGGTTGTTTACTAACGATTTTTATTTTTCAAATATTTTTTAAACCGCTCGACTTAAATTGTTAATTAAATGCCCGTATACTGCTAGAAATTGTTATATAAACGAAGCAATTTCAAAGAGATATATAGATTATATAGAAGTCGATGGAAATTAATTTTTGTTAAAAAAAACACAACTATTATTATCAGGTTCAAGGTAAATTAAATATTGCGTCGAAAGATAAATGTTACAGCGCTTTCAGATGGAGCGGACCGTTCGCGACTTCGAGCAAGTACCATGAGTTTATATGAACAATTTCACATGGGTCGCGTATGCTCCGTCCGGATGATTTCGTCCGACGGCTATCTTG